CTTCTCAGCCTTTCGCTTCTGGGAGTTTACGCCGGTAAATTGGAAGAGCACGGGTACACGGTTGAGGCTTACCAGAATGGATTATACATCGTCACCAGTCCCCATTACTCTGGGGGGAGCGCTCCGCTGGACAAGGTCAGAATCAACGTGGAAAAGAAAACCATGACCGTCTATTTGGCCTACAATGGCAAGGAAGAGGACCACGAGGACAAGTTGTACATGTCCCAAGTTCTCGCGGCTCTTTGCGATAAGGAGGGAATCGATCCTGACGATTTGTGGTGGGTCGTTATTGACGACGTCGAAAACGTTGCTACAAAGACAGCCATGACCCAGTACCGCACCAAGTACGGCCTTCGTTTCAAAGATGAGATCAGAGTCAAACCCGATCAGGAAGAGGACTGGGCCATCTTCAACCAAACTCCTTTCTACCGAGCCGTATACCGCATGCTTCCGCGCAAGGGCATTGACCAGATCATCATCAAGAGGGAGGACGGTCAGACGAATATGTATCTCTCAGTTGAGTGATTTCCTGGAGTAAGTTCAATCGTTTTTGACACTGTTATTGTCGGTGTGTGAGAGTTTGACTGATCGCGTGTAGTCAGTCATCTTGACCTAGGGAACACAATGACTAGTTGGCTAGTGAGGGGCTGGAAAATGGTGCAAATCCAGAAGTTCGTCCCTGTGGTATCTATAGCACTCGAACATAGCTGTACAGCTTTTGAGCGAAATAATACATACAACAATTTACTTGCCTCACCGATGGAAACCAGGGGCAGAGGGGACTGGCTGCCTTACGACAGAGAAGCAATAGTCAAAAATTCTGACCGTAAAAGTGATGGTTTACACTCAGCCTCAAGATAGAATCTTGTCTCGAACGGTTTTTCACGTGATCCTGTGCTGGGTTTGACGATCGTTACGTCTACTTAACCAACCCCATCGGCCCTTTAACAAGTTGTCATGGGCCCCATGGCAGACAAAGTCGGACTCGGTCTATCACTGATATTATTATTGAAAATCCCCCAATGGCTGCATAGGGCCGGGAATAAGAGGGTGCGTCTCCTAGTAGTTTCCGGCAGCTGAATTCTAAGTCTTTTCTTGGTTCGCTACGTTGTTCAGTTTTGCCATCTTACTTTGAGAGCTCGGCTAGGATTATGGGGCATGGGCAGAATCTCAAGCTGCTGATTCAATTCTAGGCCTTGAAGGTGGGGTCATTGAGGACGGATGCAAAACATTGAGATTATATGAAAGCTATGCTGCCACTCAGAAATCTCGAATAAGTCACATTCCTAGGTAGGATGAAGTGCATCGCACGACGTGGGCATACTTTGCAGTTGTGATATTGGAGCCAACATCGGGGCAACTAATTCATAATTACTTGGTAAATGAAGGGTCGCTGCGAACCGGAAGAAGTGGGGTTGCAACTCAGCGAGCCAAACTCTCAATGAGTGGCACTTAATATGGGCTCGAATTGAGTTGACTCAACTCAAACTAGCTTTGATTAAACGGTCTGTGAGGCTGATTCGGTTTCTTCGGCCATTCCCGCCCCTCCTAAAATTTTGGAAATTACCTATCTTCTCCAACGTGGCCGGACTCACCGATATTCAACGGCCTGTGCTTCTATGGGTGGCACATTCGTTCACCGCTATGATAATCCGCAGTTGAAAAAGGCTCCGGATGGTGTTAGTCATTTGTTTCGAGTTTTCCAAGCCTAGTAATATACTGTGGCAGATAGTATCCGGACAAGCGTTAAAGTTGAGTTGCACTCAATTAATGATCGGCGAGTTTTAAGGCGTTAATGTCGCTACATACACCTTTACTCGGGCTATGCATATTTTCATCAAACATATGTGTCTATGACAGGTCGGTAGGGCCGCCTCTCCCATTTGTTCCTCTCCCATTACCTTGCCCTATATCACATCATCGGCCTTTGGGGATTGTGGGGTTCCTGCCAAGGCACTATGTTCATGGCGTTGAGTAAGTAGAGCAAACTGAATCGGTCAATCACATTTCACCGAGAGTTTCTACAACTTTTCCATCCCACACTGTATTTGAGTTGAGTGTGCCTCCATCCTTACGAGATGCTAATTTTCAGTAAGACCGGCGCTGAAAGCCAATTTTATTGCCAGTAAGGCTGTCAAATTGACGGAAACTCCGTCATCGACACAAATGCCCGTCCTAGATATAAGGAATCATCCACACAAACCGTGCCATGTATTTGACTAGGTATGCTCCAGAGGACACTGCACTCCTTCTCAGTCCTCCAGTCACTCCTTAATTGCCCACTATGATCCGACACGCATTGACTTTGCTTCTGCTCTCGACGACCATTACTGGTCAGGTCACCTCTCCCGACAGTCCCTACAACCCCGAGTCGCAGGATGACGGCGATGCATTGGCAGAGAGGGCCGTCAGCCCTGGGATTAAACCCCTCCCAAGCGTGAAGCCGGCCCCGGGCCCGAAGCCAGCCCCGAGCGTTGTGCCTCCCCGAAATCAGACGTCATCTCACGTTCCATCGACGTTCTCCAAGTCGATCCGTATCACCACTTCCTCTCACTGGAGTAGCTATGCCCCTTCCTCTTCGCGGAAACCGACATGGAGCCCGCTTCCTTCTTCTACCCGGAAGCCTAGTCAACTTCCTTCCTCAACCTGGCATAGCAGTGCCCTGAAGCCGTCGTCCACGCCGGCCCCGATCCATGTGAGCAACGGAGAGACGGTTGCCGCAGCTGTCGGCGCGGTGATTATCGGAGGAATCCTGGGTGGCTTTGTCATGGCGCCCTCCGGTGCGCTTCTGCCCATCGCGGCAGGACAGACTGCCGTGTTGTCGGCAGCGGCCGGCTCCGGAGCCGCTGGGTCGATGCCCGAATTCGAACTGGATCCCGTCGACGATAAGCCTGATCTGCCCGAGTCTGTCCCCGAGGTCAAGCCCACCCAGCAGAAACCCACCGAGAAGCCCACCGAGAAGCCTGCGACGCCTACACAGGTCCCGACTCCTTCTCAGTCCTACGATCCGGAGACTGCCTCCGAGACCTACGACCCTTGGACTTCCTCCGCGGCACCGTGGTCCTCCTCGGCTCCCCCGTCAGAGTTTCCTTCTTCGACGAGCGCACCCTTCTCCTGGACCTCATCGGAGCCTGCCTCCTCTCTTGTGACCACCTCATCTGTGTGGAGCACTACCATCGCCACTTCTACTTCATCGGCTGCCCCGACTAGCACTGCTCTCAACTGGATTGACCACGACAAGGTCGCCGCCTTGAATCAGGCAACTTCTCTAGGACTGGAGGGTCAACTTCAGCTCCGATTCAACCCCGAGCTGTTCGTTTCTGGAGGCTGTGATCCCTACCCGGCCGTTGACGCCTTCGGAAGTCTTGGGTAAGCTCATGAATCTCTCAAAACGACGTTTCAAAATACAAGTGCTAATCACTATTTACAGAGCTGGTTTGAAACCTACCGGCGGCGGACGAAGCGGATGCGGCAACGGAGGAACCGGACAGGTCTACGTCCGCCGTGGAAGCAGTCAAGGCCGCACCGCCATCATGTACTCATACTACATGCCCAAGGTCCGCTGGGCCAAGGGCGACGACAACGGTCACAGACACTACTGGGCCAGCATCGTCGTCTGGGTCAACCGCTGGGGCTGCGAGGGCGACACGAACGTAAATGCCGTCTTCCCCGTTGGCGTTTCGTTCACCAAGGATCACACGGTGTGGGATACTGCAGAGACTGGTGATATCTCATACTTGGAGTCGACGCATCCCAAGATGCAAATTCACGATAACGCCATGTCACCGTTCACGGGCGCTGATGGCGACAAGGTCTTTGAGCGTACTCTTGTGGCTTGGGATGCCCTTCCTGACGCAGCTGAGCGTGCGCTGTCTCTTGTTGAGTACGAGAAGACACAGGTGCCGTTCATTGACGCAAACTTCCAGAGCTATCTCGATGCCGCGTATAAGGAGAGTTTCTACGGCGCCTTGACTGATCAGCAGGGCTGCGGCGGCACCAATTAGGTTGAGTGAGCTTTAGCGTTCGGATACCGTGGAAGCTGGAGCTTTGCCTACGAAATACGCAAATGAGAGTAGCTGAATAGATTGATACTACACACAATAATCGACAACTTTAATCCATTTACGTTGAGAGTCACGTGCATGTCAACTCACACTTTGGATCCTCTCAAATTACTTTTACGTTTAACAACACTCAGGATGTTCAACGTCACCAACCGGATCAAATACCGCACGCGAGGTCCTGACCACTTGATGAATAAACTACTCGGAATGGCTGGAAGACAGGACAACATTCCGAGACCATCAGCCTCGGGCACGTCACGGAACTCTTCATCCCGCCGGCGAGATCTTGCCTATTTCAACTGAGGTCCCCCATGCTTCAAATCCCGGGGATCCCACTTAGACCGAACCATTGGAGACAGCTATCCATTCTAAACACCCTCTTGACCCTCCATCTTGCCAGGTCTGCCACAAAAGCGCGAAACACAGCCCATCCAATGCTATCTTGGTCGCTAATCTGGCAGAGCCCGCGTTCCGGCTGTCCGTAACAGGCAAGGTGGAGCAGTGACAACGTCAAGCGCGGGGCCGGATTTGCTTCGAAATGCACGAAATGCGGGGAAAGATGGGACAGATGGGGATGAGGGATGGCCAGCGTTCCCGCCGGTTAAGCCTGATTCGGTAACTTTCCGCCGACTAGTTGCCTCATGGGTTTCCCGCGGGTTATATTCCCTTTCACGAGATGCTCGTGGATGCGTGAGGACGCCACTCTTGGGCGACGAACTTCCCCAATGAGGGACCTGGAGATGTGAATGACGGAGGGTATATAAGGGGATTCAGAACTCTTGAGCGATGACTGCGATCCTGCGAATTTGATTTTATGTCTTTTTACTTTCTCAAAGTGCTATATTCTGGTCGTGAATACTCTACATTTCAACTCGCCCTCATCATCAACGCCATAACTAGTAGATATCTCTCTTGAAACTCTCTCGAATCTTCACAATGCCTCACGCCGAGTCACCTACGCCTGATGCCCCTCCTACCATCAACGGTGTCCAACTCCACGTCAACGATGACCTCCTTTCTGCCAACGAAGTCGAACCCCTCATTCAATCCCACCTCACAGAAAACTTCGATGTCCTCCGCCAACGGTACCGTCAACACGGCTACCTACTCATCAAGGGCCTCATCCCCCGCGAAGACGTGCTCTCCGCACGCGAATCATACTTCAACTCCCTCGCCCCTTCAGGCGTGATCAAGCCCGGCACGTCTCCGCGAGAAGGCATCTTCGACGACGCAAAGTCAGCCGCGGATTACCCAGGCATCGGCGCCGGCAGCGTCAAGAACGCGGCGCCAGGCGAGACGGATCGCTCCGAGATCTTCACCGAGGCGGCGCTCAAGGCGCATACCGAGGATTGGTATGCCGGCTCCGAGGACGGCTCAGTCCGGGGCTTCTGCAACCACCCGGTCCTCCGCAACTTCGTCGCCGAGTTCACGGGCTGGGGTGACGAGAACACCCTAACCGTAAAGCGCACGCTCCTCCGCAACAACACCCCAGGCAACAAGGCCATTGGCGTGCACTATGACCAGTCCTTCATGCGCTACGGCGAGCCGACGTCCGTGACGGCGTGGGTGCCGATCGGAGACGTCCGGCTCGAGGGCGGCGGGTTGATTTACATGCAGGACGGCGAGAAGCTTGGAGAGGAGATTGAAAACGAGTTTACAACGAAGGCTAAGGCGGCCGGAATGAGCGACGAGGAGACAAAGAATGCGTTCAATGCGAATATGATGAGCACGGGGTTCTTGTGTGATGGGCCGGCGGACTTTGGACGACGGTATGGGAAGAAGTGGCTGGTGAGCGCGTACGAGGCTGGCGATGTTGTCTTCCATTCAGCGCACATGGTAAGTTTTCTCCGCTTTTACATCAGGAAGTATGTTTGCGAATTGCTGACTGCGATATTAGATTCATGCTTCAACCAAGAACTACGATCCCGAGGGGCGCATCCGACTTGGAACGGACCTGCGCTTCGTCGACAAGCGCCGCCCATGGGATACTGTAAGTCATATTCTGCCTACTTGCCTTGTTTGAAGAACGTCTCTAACAGACATTAGCGCTGGGATAAGCATTACAGCTTCAATGATGGCGTTTAACCCGACTAGGGCTGTTGCGCGGGATGCCGAGAACGTCCTGACCCACGCATCCGCGATGCAAAATTGTGTGAAGAGAAGAGATAGAGTCGACAACGACCATGATACATAGCCAGTGAAATTGAGTCATCTTGATTGAAAGCTATCAAGTTGTGACCATTGCTCCTTCAAAGTCTTTACCAACGCCCCTGTCTTCCATTGGACGATGGTCCTTACTTGTGCGAGGTACTTGATTGTATGTTCTCGTTCGAGCGGATGTCTTATTAAATGGCCGCCTAAGAGAAGCGTCAGAATCACGGAACTAGCACGTACATCATGTCGGTCGACTTACACAAGGACAGCATATGTGCGGGCAAGTAGTATGCGTTAACAGCCTCATTGGACCGGGCCAAGCCCATGAGCATACATAGAGAGAACGTGATTTCACGCTATGCGATGTTTAGTAGAGTGCATGATGTGCGTTTCTTTCGATCGCAACTCACCTCACTGTCCATCCTCTTCTTCGTTCCCTCAAATCCTGCTGTCGGATTTGAGCTGTTGTAATCTTGGAAGGAAAATATCGCTTTCGAAGCGTAGTAATACCCGAGTGCAACAGTGCCTACGTGAGCCTTGCTGTCAGTGACTCTCCTACTCCATAAAGTCAAGAGGAACAGAGCAGCGTTTGTTATGTGAAGGTTCATACCTGGATCTGCGGCCATCCACAAGGTCGGGAACGGTCTTCCCTTGGCCACATCCGCCCGTTCATAGAAAAGGGGCTGGAAAGATAGTGGCTTCTCTTTGAACCACACGTCAACGTCATTCTGTAACTCCTCCCAAGTCTCTGAGCTGCTCGTGCTGAATCCCGATCCGTCTTCCGGGAAGAAGAGTTTCAGCACTTTCGCAAACAGGTACACGATTCGGTTCGCATGCGCGGTGTCGTCGTTGCTTCTGAACGTAGAAGACCTCTCAAAGTTTTCTAGGCAAATCTCGATTGGCGTCCTGCGAACTAGGAACACATAGAGTGCTTGTCGTAGGTGGACCCAGCTCGCGGCCTCAGCCAGCCCGCCCTGCGTTACGAAACGGGCAATAGCGTCGTGATTGAGCAGGTTCCTCGTGCCTCGAAGGTGGTGATAGTGGGAGTCTGTCTCGTTGTCGTACTCTTCGTAGAGCCGCATGATCACGACAGCCGTTAGCAGAATCGAGTCCCACGTCTCCGGGGGTTGGGAGAATGCTTCAATGAGCAGTTCGATGCAGCGATTGTGGTAGTACGTGCTCTCCAGATCCGACTTTTCGTTTGTATCGTCGTTCCCCTGCGTGTCGAAACGACTGGCTAGGGCGAAGATGCCGTTGAGCAAGATCGGCTTGCGAAGGGCAAGGCGGGGGACTTCAAGCGTGAAGGGGCGAGCATCGTGGCACGCATCAATCTGGGATCATTAGACACTCTGGTGTCATCGGTGGAAAGACGGAAATGGTGTAAGAGATCACTCACTGAAGGCGCTATTCTCAAGATGTACGTGCGAAATAAGAAGGCCTGGCGTCCGGTAAATCCGCAATGCTCGGGGTCCACGGGCTGAATACGGAATTCCGCATCCGAAATGAGACTCTCAGCACGCTCCGAGGCAATCTGGTGTGAAGACCCGGCCTGCGTTGACGGCGAGTCCCCTAAGAGATATGAAATCTGGAGCTGTGGCTGCACCTCTCCCGATTGCCACTGTCCGCTATCCGAGGTGATGCCATCTCGCGCGGAGTCGAGATACCCGGGGCTTGACGCGAAGCTATCCCGGTGTTGTCGGCTTTCCTGCGGCGGCCCGCTGTTCAACACAAAGCCGATGGGCGCACTACCGTCGCCGTGAGACCCGTGTCCGGTGAATCGTTGTGCCGGGGCCTCGGCCCGGAACGCGTGCGTTGCCGGCGGTGAGTAGTCGAAGTTGAGCTGTCCTTCATATGGCGTCAAGCCGTGCGGGGATGGGTGAGATGTAAAGCTGTTGCTTCTGTCGCCCGCTGTGCGAACGGACTGGACGGCCGGTGATGAGGATGCCTCGGATGTTTCGTCGTCTAGACGACTTACTTCGCTCTTGCGTCGGGCTGGACAAGAAGAGTAAGTTCCTGACGCGCATGGAGGGACTGAGTGATCGGCAAATGAACAAAAACGAGACGGGGTGCGAAAGACAAAAGCTGAAAAGGTCACCTCGGGGAGGCGGGGGCTAGCAGAGGGCCCGAAGGGCCCGACGGGAAGGGTGGGCGCGGTAAAGCATCATCTGAGAAAGGAAGGTCAAGTCAAACCTCGGTGATCCGCCTTCTGAACTCTGTCTTCGGAGAGAGCTGCCTTTCTGGAGCTACCCGGCGCATGCTTAAAGCGTAAAGTCGTGTCAAAGTGACACTCGAGATCGGCCTCGAAGCAGGCGCCGCAACCCGTCGCGCCGGGTTGGACAACACATTTACGGTGACGCCGCCGGCAGGCGTCACAGCAGCGTCGGGGCTTCATGTACGGTCCCGACCGCCGGAGGAGGGGATCGGAGCCTTATGTTTACTCGTATCCTCTCTCGCCCGCCGAGGTCTACGCAAAAGTCCGAAAGTCATCCGACTGTGAGCCCATCTGTTCGGGTATCTCCTAGGTGTATTGCGGTGTGTGACTGTGCCCTTGTTTGCCGTTGACGCTTCTCTCTGCCTTTACCTCGGAGAGTAATCAACTCGACTCTGAATGGGCCGTTGGCGGTGGGTTTGCTTGCCGGAATGGGAGCGGGGTGAGCAGACGACCGTACGATTTTGCGGGGGTGGAATGAAGAGAGTTGAATCCCGCGGGATACATGGCCTTTTGAAGACATGGGGAGCGCTTGGTCGGGGCTCGGGATCGACGCTAGGCGGGGGATAAATTGCGGGGTGAGCCCCCCTTCGAGAAAGGAAGTGTGGTCGAAACCATGACTTGTTTTGTGTCACGTTTTCCCTTCGTCGCCCAATGGTCCTGTTGTTGAGCAGGGTATCCATATCAATCAGAGTCTCCCCGGTTCTAGGTGTAAGTCGGAGTAGGTTGGCCAACTGAAGCTATCATTGTCAAGAAGTCTCCAGTGATGTTGACGGCCCGACGGAGAGAACACCTCTGCAGCTGAGGGGTACTTCGAGTCATAAACAACAGAAGACCCCGAGAACCATTCAAGATCCAATAACGGCTGCGAGGAAGAGATACTACGGAGGTACTTATAAGGCCGCCACGAAGGAGCTTTCCGAGAGTCCGGTCAAAATCCCGCCCGATCTCCGGCCAGGCTATCGGGCTCTGCGCCAGTGCCCGACAACAGGGCACCAGTTAAGACAAATCTAGAACGCAATCGCCGCCGTTTACCTAGATTGGGGACCTCATGTCGCCATCCTAAGTGCGACATCTCTATGAGGTTTATTCCTCCGATGGTGAATAGTATCTAATGGGAACTTCAGCCGCCCACACTCAGCCCGTGACCAAACCAGAGCGATTTCTCAACTCATCACCCCTTTCGAGTGAGCCAGTTTCAGTAATTCCTAACCTACCCAAGATTCTCTAGCCATGCCCGCAAAGATAAATGTGGGACGTCCGGGGTATCCTCCTCGTCAAGGCACATCCACCCATCGCATTCGATTTGCTCTCTATCGCAAGCATACGTCAACGATCACGAACAACTTCGCAGCGATTACTCACTACCAGAGGTCTTGCGCCGCCCTGAGTAGAATCATGGCGGCCTCAAATATAGCCCGGTTCTGGTGAACCTTAGGGGATTCCGAGCTTTAAGCCGAAGACGATGCGATTCAAGTAGCCTGAACATCTACCACAACATTGAGGCACATGCTCTGGCATTGGGCGACAACTCATGATCATTCATCTCACTCATGGCCTGCCAACATGATTGAGTTGATTTAAGGTGATATTGCGAACAGGGGTCAGCTATCTCATTTTGCTACACAAGACACTGCCTACGATACTCAAGGGTCAGATCTATCTGGCCAGATCCATCGCCAATGATGGCAGAAGGTGACTAGACGAGATGTCTTTGAGCATCGTAAGCATAGTGAAGAGGCACTAGCGCACCGCGAACGCACGCCTCACTATAAGGAATCGAATTGTGCCTAACTCGAAATCCGATGAAGGACGTTGCCAAAGTGGCCATATCTCGTTGCACCTGACATGAAGGTGAGTCGCAAGTAAATTGAGAGCGTCGAGACATCTCATGCACATACCAACCCATGAAGCCTCTATATTGGATAGCAATTCGATGAGCTCCATCTGGTGATAGTGAATCATAGCAGGCTCATAAAACCATGGTACCGAAGTGCAGAGCTCACCTCTGACGAAACCTGAAGTCCAAGGAACCTTCATTGCCCTCGTGAGAGGTGGTCATCAATGCCCACGGTATTCGATACCATTCTTTCATGAGTTGCACTGTGGAAGACAAGTCCCTAACTGAGTTCAGGGGTTTGACTGAGTTGGGGTCTATAAACAACTCCCTTTTCACGGTGAGATCTGGTGAGCATGCCGTCAGGATGTCGCCGGTGAAGGGTGAGCCACCTCACCGTACGGGACTCAGAGTAGTGATCAATAAACGAGACACTCTATGTAACCTGGCTTCCAATGACTTGGAAAATGTGCGAATGAACCGCTCGAGATGGCCCGTAAGCTTTGCATTTTCATCCGACTTTCTATCAGCCTTCGCTCAGCTCCACTCAGTGACTTGTCAAAACCGTTTGTTGCCGCCCCCACAAGGGTGTTAAAGCAACTGTGTAGAACGGACACCAAATTGAGAAATGTCTTCTTGGTGGCTACAGAAGTATTCCAGAAACCCAGAGACTTTGACCTATCACTCTTCGTCGACCCTGATCCTCATCCTCCTCAGCTCAGTTCACAAAGGTCATTACGGTCTCCATGCCCCTTTGGCTCACTCTCATGTGATCGGAAGGATATGACTAACGGAATGTCACTGATTGGCTAACCTTTGGTGGGGCACCGAGCTCTTATGTAATCGCCTCTCTTGGGCCAAGCTAACCTTGATTAGGAGTGGCGTACTCTCAGTACGTACCTGATCTGAGAACCTAGCGACCCAGATTTGGTTTTCGCTGCGATCTTTCCTGATTTCGAGATCATCCAGTGCTTTGCGTCTAAGCATTCCTTCGCCCAACTGAACGATTAAGAGGAGTGTCATTTCCAGCCCAAATCGATCGTCATGTCTTGAGCACTTTAGGCCTACTTCCTTGACAATCAGAAACTGCAGCTATCTGTATGGTAGCCGAAGAGGATGAGACATCCTTGCAGTTAACATCGAACCGGCGCCGGTCTCCGAGCATTCGGTCACCGGCAAGCACATGACCCCATGACAAGACGGCTCTCGGATCCGAAGACCCGCGGCGACACGCAATTGACCCGGGTCGACTTGCTGGTTCTGCTCCATCTCCGGGTCCGATTGCCCTCTACTCGAAGTGGTTCCGGCACCGGACGCAATTGTGTGACTTGTAGGCTGTAGCCAAAGGCCAAGACTCAAGGGCTGAAATTACACTACCTCGTAGAAACGGTGACCAGTGGCCAAGGTGCAGCCAAGAAGCCAGGGCCAAGTCAACTGACGCGTCTCTAACCTCGCACCGGGCGGTCTGAGGCCTGGGCACCTTTCAGGGCATGACACCTGGCCTTGTCACAGCGAGAGAAGCAGAGATTGCAGTCAAAGTCAAGACACGAAGTCGAGCACACGCGAAGCAGCGACCGACCGCAGCCACAGAGAAGGAGTTGAATCTGACTTATCCGCTATCTGTTGCTGTCGGCTATCTCTAGTCCTGCGGCCTGGGCTTCGGAATAGAGCGGGAGCACTCAGCCCCATGGGGTAAGCGGGAACGCCCATCACTGGGTGGTAGGCAATGCGACTATGGGAAGAACCGGGTGCTCTATATGCAGTGACGTTCTTTTCGCGGGGTCTAAGTGATGCGGGCGAACGGTTTGAGATTGGGGAGAAAGGGGGGGATATATGCATTACCGGTAGTGGTGATGGCTTGTTTATCCTCGGCGCGAAGAGGTTACGGAGAGGGTGTTGATGATTGGATTTGGGGTTGCTAGCAGTGATACGCAACGAGGTCATCATCGTCAGCCAAGCCCACCACAGGTGACCTTGAGTGAACGACTGAGAGGAGGGGATGAGAGTCATGATGAACAGACTACAGCAAGCATGAGCATTGCTCAAATTGACCGTCCGAAGTATCTGACTTGTTGCCGTCTTCCGAGAGTCTCCAGTCAACACCGGTGTCCGAGTTTCGCGAAGATTGTGTTTACGGTTTACACAGTACCTTACGGAGTTCACTACGAGCATGAAGTGCAGAGTCCCACCGGCACAGTCCTCCGTCCGCCCAGGAGCCCCTCCTCGGCCCCGGCAGCCACGTTCAAACACGGCTTTCATTCTCATTCATTGCCTGAGTGGAAGTAGGTACTTAGGGATTACAGAATGAGTGATGCTGAGGCTGAGACTGGCTGTGTGACTCGCTTCCGCATTTGGCCGAAGCAAGTTCCCGCCCCGCTGCTCTAAAAATTTCTAGATCCCGAAGACGGCACAGTTAGGGACAGCCAGTCGGGCCAGGTCTTTCAAGGTTCCTCTTCCCCCCTGAGGCTTGGGGCCCTGCTGCACCCGGCTCCCTCAAGGTTGCGAAGAGAACGGCGACTGGATGTCACTGCCTATATGTAGTTGGGTGCGAAAGTACTTGACACCACAGCGAGGCCCCCACCATTACCTCAAGGTACCTAAATTGACGACCTCGAGGTACTAAGGTACCTTGATCCCCAGTGACCTCGAAAGATTGACTCGTGTGATTCCATCTCCATCTTCTTATTCTCATAACTCCATCCTCTTACGATTCCGATCAAACAAGACACCACATCAAATCATACCAAATCGAGCCCGACAGCAAGTAGACAGTACCGACGACAAGTTCCAATCGACCCAACGAAAGGACTCTAGTTCCCCCCGTAGAAAAACAACCACAGCCAAAGGTCGTTCTCGCCCACGATGAACTGCCCTTCGCGCAACGACGACATCACGCTGGAGCATCCAGACTGGAACCAGAACCCGCCCTTCTTGTCTGCCGACCTCACCACCTGCGAGGATCTGAACGGCATTGCCAACGCCCGCGAGCAACGCAGGGCCCGGGGCGGCGCCGGCGATGGATCCGACGGCCGGGGTGACGACATGAATTACCAGACGTTGCCACGTCTGCAGCCCGATCGGAGGCTGCGCGTTTCGGGAGGGTGGAAACACGGTGAGTCTTGAACGTTCGTGGTTTATGTTGTTTTGGGTTGATGCTGGTGATGTCGTGGTTGCGCTGATGCGGAGACTGGGACCAACGACCTCAAGGTCTCTCTCCCATTACTCACCTCACTCACCTCACTCACCTCACTCACCTCACTCACCTCACTCACCTCACTCACCGCTCTCACCGCTCTCGGTGTGCATGCGGCATCGGCAGGCATTATCAACGACATTCAACCACACACAGCATTCTTAAATGCAAACTAATCCTCCCCAGGTTTCCATCCCCGAAACAAAAAGGTGCATGGTGGTGATGACCATACACCTCTCCTTTGGGCCTCTGCGCCCGCCCGCTCCGCCCTCTGGGGCTGGGTGAGCTGGATCATGTCCGTCATTGGCTGCTCAGCCATCATCTCTGCCCTCAAGAGCCCCGAGGCTGTCGCGTCTTTCCTTGTCGCGACCAAAGAAACTACTCATTGTAAGTCGATCTCTCTTCATCAAGGTCTCTCGGAAGACGGGCCCTATCGACCCATTGCCTACACGTATCAATATACAAATCTCATTTCATCTCATCTCACCCCATTGCGCCTCATCTGACTTAGACTCACCTCACTCCTCCTTATTCATCACCAATGCCTCAACACAATGTAAGCTGACAATATCCCAAGCCATCACCAAGCGCCACGCCCACACTCACGACCACGACCGCATTACCGCCCGCTCAACCTGCCCGACTGGCGGCCTCGGCGACGAAGATGCCTACAACACGCCCCTCCACGTCGGCGCCCTTTTCATCATCCTCGCAACCTCCTTCCTCGCCTGCGCCTTCCCGCTCATCGCGAAGAGTATCCCCGCCATCCGAATCCCCCGTACCTTCTTCTTCGCTGTCCGCCACTTCGGTACCGGCGTCCTCCTCGCCACCGCCTTCGTTCACCTCCTCCCGACGGCCTTCACCCTTCTCGGCAACCCATGTCTGAGCTCCTTCTGGGTCGAGGATTACCCCGCCATGCCGGGCGCCATCGCCCTGGCCGGCATCTTCCTCGTCACCATCATCGAGATGGTCTTCTCCCCTGCCCGCCAGATGAGCTGCCGCCCCGATGACGCCGTACTCGCCCCGAACCAACCCGAGGCTGGCGATGAAACCGATCAGGGGCAGCAACAGCAGCGCGTCGAGAAGCGCGTCATCGTTGACGAGGAGAACCGCGCCGTGCAAGTCAACTCCAACGGCGGAATCGTCCTGACCCCGGCACAGCAGCACCAAAAGGACATCCTCCAGTGCATGATGCTCGAAGTCGGTATCCTATTCCACTCCGTCTTCATCGGCATGACCCTCTCCGTCTCCGTCGGTCACGAGTTCGTCATCCTCCTCATCGCCATCGCCTTCCACCAGACTTTTGAAGGCCTCGCCCTGGGCTCCCGCATCGCAAACATTGACTGGCCCCAGGGCAGCCTCCAGCCCTGGATGATGGCCCTTGCGTACGGCTGCACCACGCCCATCGGCCAGGCCATCGGTCTCGCGACCCACCGCCTCTACAGCCCGGACTCGGAGTTTGGCCTCATCCTCGTCGGCACCATGAATGCCATCTCGTCTGGGTTGCTGGTCTTTGCCGCGCTGATCGAACTTCTGGCCGAGGATTTCCTGTCCGATGAGAGCTGGCGTGTCCTGAGGGGCTCGAAGCGCGTCTGGGCTTGCGTGCTCGTCTTCTTTGGCGCCTTTGGCATGAGTCTTGTCGGAGCGTGGGCCTAGGTGGATCCCCCGAGGCTAAGGGGGAACAGTCTGGATCGATGGTGACACCGGTTTCCTGCCTGGTGGTCTCCTGTTGAGTCGTCTGTGACCCTCTTGCACCTGAAGAGACACGGTGAGGTGTCTCATTCAGGGTTAGACGGCGATGCTGCATAAGTGGATGGCGCGAGCCGACCCCTTACCGCGTTGTCTCGATTTCAATTTTCCATTCAGCAGCTGGGTTTGTGCTTATGTACAACAACCTCTGTCATCTGTTTGCATGAATCTTGAAAACTGGTGTATCTCGTTCTTTGGAAGACTGCCGCTTGAGAGAGAGTTGTCGGTCAGAGTGCTTCGTTATTTGCTCTACGTTTGGTTTCGTCTATGAAGCCGTCCGCTCGTTCAAAGTAGTATTAGTGCGATACGTTACTTAGATTATGAAAATTTAGAAAATGATGTGGATAAGACTACTTTTCAAGTGCCGATCGAAACAGATGACCGTCCAGCACTGTCTATGTCGAGTCTCTATGATTGTCTCCCAATACTCACTCTCTCTCACCTTCTCCCCCCCTCCCCCTTCCCCCTTTCTCATCATTCACTGTCCTGGATCATCCAGGCCCTATCCACCTCGTATTCCACACAACCCTCAACTCACAAACGTAAAGTCACTCGGTGAAGTTCCCTCACTCACCGTCGGACTAGGCGCGACCCCACTATCATAACTCCCCCTTCTCTTAGCCCTATGCCTCTTGCCCCTTGTCTCCAACCCCCCTGGCAACGGCACACACCCAACAACCTCAATCTCACCGTTTCCGCCCCGAGCAGCAGCAGCCGTGGTAACAGCATGCCAAGCCCTCGTCTCCTCCGCAAGTCTAGCCTCCTGATCATGCCTCTCTCTCTCTTCCTTGAACCGCATTCCCAGCGCCTCCTCCGTCTGACTGAGGTACGGGAATCTTTGCTTCTGTCTCTGCGGCAGCGGGGAGGAAGGCGGCGTGGGCACGTTCTTGCGCTCGGTAGCAGTGCTCCAGCCCGCGGTGTCGCGGGCAATCATAGCCGTGTGTAAGGCGCAGCATACCGATCCGGAGCCACCGGCTCCGAGTTCGCCACTGGTACCAACTCCGCGCGGGGAAGGGCACCCGGGAACGACGCAGGCGTGGACCGCGTCGCAGAAACTTGCGTTCGGTCTCGCGGCGCCGTGACATCCCGCAGCCCGGCACTCGTGGCCCGTACAGAACTGGCTCGCGGAGACGAGGAGCGGATCGTCGGCGCGCGGGGCCGGGCAGGACGGGTACAGGCAGGCGTGGAGTGCGCAGCGGCGGCTGGACGGTTTCGAAGGGTGGGGACACTCTGGGCTTGCTGCGCACTTGTGCGCTACGCAGAAGCTCGGTTGGTGTGGTGGTTTTGAGGGGTTTGCGAGGTCTGCTGCTGGTTGGGGGCAAGTTTGGGCGTGGCAGGTGTCTAGGAACCGAGCGAGAGAGGGGTTTGTTAGCCAGTTTTGCGCGAAGAAGGTAGGCCCGAGTTTGTTGTCTTACGGCTGGCACAATAGAGTCTTGATGCATCTGCTGTGTTGTCTTTGCGCTCTCGACATGGCGGATATGTACACTCGTGCTGGGGGCAGAAGTGGACGCCGCCGCTGACGGTGGCTTCGCAGGCTGTCGCGTTGCAAGATGTCGGTAAATCTGGAGCGTTGACCACGTAAGTTTTCCCGTCCTTCAAATGTGATGACTAGGCCCAGGGCCCGGTGGATGAAAACTCACGGAACCAGCAAACGTCCTCGTGTGTTCCACCGGGCGAGACCACCCTCAGCGAGTCACACCCCGCGGTCTTGCAGAGCCGGTGATCTCTGCACCAGTTGCCGCCGTCTATGACACTATTGCAGTCCTTGTCGGTGCAGCTATGACTCGGGCAGTAGAGGCCGTCGCCGACGCGCGGGTGACCGCAGGCGGGGATGAGGCAAATGGGCGTGTGGAAGCTGCACATCTGGGAGTTGGTGGCTCGCTTGTTGTGGCATCCGTAGGTTGCGCACGTGTCTGCATTGCCAGAGAAGCGCTAGGATCAGCATTACTGTCGATGAGAGATACGACATGAAGGAGGAGGGAGTCACGAGAAACGTACGGCTTTGGCAATATGGCCAGTCCTGGTTTGCATCGGCGAAGATGCGCTGGTTGGTACAGCCCTGACGGTGGCAGCGGCCGTCTTCTCCCAGATGAACATGGTCAGTAACGTGTACAGACAGTCGAAGAGGTAATTGACTCAAGGCAATGCAACGTACGATCTTCGCAGTACTTGGATAAACCAGGCTGTTTGGGGTTTGTACACATCTTCTCACCAGTACGCGATCGGCAGGCATCTCGAGACGACGTTAGACTGGGCTCTTCATCAGGCTGCGGAGACTGAACCCACGATCTTTGCAAAAGATGGAGAGAATGCGCTTAGCTTTGGCCGGTGCCTCGCATTTCAAGACCTTATGGACGCAGCCAGAGTAGACGCAGTGCGGCCGGGGCGGCGGAGGCGTGGGCTGTTTGGCGCGGCAGCTGAAGAACATGATGGCTTGCAACTATGTGATTAGACAAATGATTGCAACTGGGTTGGTGAATGAATCTTGACGGAGTATTGGAGGTTTCTGGGATTACTAGAAGGAATGTACAATTTGGACGATGTTGCATGGGCAATTAAGATGACTTGATATAAGAAATCTTGAAGAGGATGAGAGAGAAGCACGCCAGGCATCCAACATCACCATCAGGAGGGCCATCGTTCGTTGAATAGTGAAACGACTATCTATGCGTACAGTCGAGCTTTGAGGTTCCAAGGACTTATTGATGAGATCGGGGAACCGTTGTTCGATCACGATGATACCCCTGGCGATGGTTCATGTGAGAGCTGAATGCGAGACACAGCTCCTTGGAGCCGGAAGACAATTTTGCAGGGGAGGTCGAGCGAAGTGAGAGTAGAAGACTTCGAACTAAAAAGAGATAAAGGAGATCAAGAAATTACTCTTCAGCGTGCATCAACTCCGTCTCTCTTAGTTATTTCGACACTCCTTGAGATGACCAGGGAGGTGCAGCGAATATGTCTCAAGAGCGGCATTACATGTGAGGGACATCAGTCCGCAACAATTGATCAACAAATTCGATTCAGAGAATATGGTGTGAAACTTCAAACCGAATGTTTCCCATGACTGAAAGAAGAAGCACTATTCAGTTGCTTCATCTTGGACAAGGAAATGAATCTGGCGGGGGCACTGCATGCAGGCAGCCGGGCCAGGTGAAGTTTTTTCTTCGGCATCGGATAGGAATGAAAAACTGTACTTATACTTCGTCCTGGTAGTCTGGCTCGACTCATTTGACTCACAAAGACTAACTTTCGGCTGCTGGTAGTCTCATGAGCTTCATGAAGCACTCAATGATGGATGAGCTTGAGTTGAAGCGGTGGTGAGATTGTGGGTGGCGGTTCCCAAAATCAGGGAAGGAGGGTTTGCCCCACCAGCGACGCTTCTGCAGGTCCACAGGAGTACGTACTTTGGGCTATACCTCATACAGCTAGAGGTCTCCAGCCACCTCGACCTAAAGCGCGTTAAGGTGCACCTTGACGGCCCCTGCGTTGCAACGTGCCCCTCGTTCCCACCAGCCACAATCATCGCGAAATCAAGTTTCCCATCCTGGCGGGCGGCAAGGACGGAGATCGTCGCCATCGCCAACCAGTTGCCGTTCGCCGGCTTTCCTCGTCATCAGGGTTTCCCGAGGACCTGACAGGCTGGTGACCTTGCAGGCTGGCGAAAGTATCACTGCCACCACCAGCGTCATCCTCTCTTTCTTGTTTTCCCCTGCCATTGTTTCTTATCGCTCACATCCCTCTCTGGCGCATACGAGACAGCTTCACCTGTTCCTACAACCTGCCAAAACACCACAGCACAGCGTCTTTTGATCACGAACAATGCCCTCGATCCGGCTTTGACGGCTGAACAATATCACACAACCGCTCCTGCAGCATTGAAACATCTTGCGACAATCGCTGACCCTTACAATGACCGACGAGGAACAAGGCATTCAGCGCCCGGCGCAAACCTACCAGACCCCCGACTGGGAGACTCCCACGACCAACAAGCGTCGCTCGTTCTTTGATCGCTTCGCTCCAGCGACGGCTGGCCACCAACGCGACAATACCACCACTGCTGCTCCCACGGCGACGAACGAAGGCGGCTTCGCGAAAGAGGATACCCAACGCTCAGATGATCACGCCCATCTGACCGCTCCTGCCACCGGCGCGGCGGTTGCTACAGGCGCAACGGCAGCACCCAAGACCCATCTCTCTCTAGCAGCTCGCTTCAATGCTCTGCTCCCGCCACAGAAGACCTACCTCGGCCTCTCTCGAAAGCGATTCCTTCTCTTCGTCGTCTTGCCTCTAGCGGTTCTGCTCCTGCTCATCCTCCCTCTCGCCCTCGGTCTTGGTCTCTCTAAGCGTGGCGGAGGAAAGCAAGATTTGCCCCTTCCGAATAATCAGGACGTTCACACCGGTGACCTCACGTACTATGCCCCTGGGCTAGGCGCCTGCGGAAAGACGAGCAGCGACAGCGACATGATTGTCTCGGTGTCGCACTACCTGTGGGACGATGTGCAGAGCGGCGGCAATCCGAACAATAACCCGCTATGCGGCAAGAAGATCCGCGTCCGGCGTGATGGCGAGGGATCGGTGGATGTCACCGTTGTGGACCGATGCACCGGCTGTGCGCCGACCGATCTCGATTTAAGCCCCGCGGTATTCAACAAATTGGCCAATAAGGACGAAGGCAGAGTCACTGGCACATGGAGTTGGTTGGACTGAGCAGGTCTGGAAGAATGCCTGAACCGCAAGCTGGATGGGAGTACTGCATAAGGAACATCCCGCCGGCCGGGAATTTGACGAGCCATGCGAATAGTACGACTACGAGCCGAAGACGGAAAGATGTTGCGCGATGTTTGGAATTGTTTCGATACCCCTGTTATTCTGATTTTCATGCCTTTCATAGATACCATTGCCCTTTGAGGCACGCGAATACGAATACTTCTTACAACCTTCATGACTCCCTGGCACAGCGCAGCGAATCGGCGGACATGATTCCGTCTATTGACCATCCCCATTTGCGACACCAACAGAATAACGATCTGGGCCGTGGTATGTAATCGAGAATAATCAGTATCATTGAGCACAGATGCTCGGCCAGACTGAGTGCCGGCCCTCCTAGCATGTCGATATCTACAATGTAACGCCGTGAAAGCAGTCCCAGGGTATTCCCAAACAATGAACCCAACATAGACGCCAGTAAACCAATCCCGAGTGTCGCCTATCCCGCAGGGAAACCATCTACGGTGAGTTATCACTTGGTCGACTCGCTGCGACCTGATTCCGGTCTCGGTCCTCCCAGTCGAGCAGACCATGTCCAACGGTAGAGCCTGTCGCTCCTGACCTACGCATAAACCGACTCCGACGCTGGTATTCCCAATCAATCAGGCCGTGGTCGGTCTCCAAAGGCGACAGCTGGGGCGCTGGGCTTGACCCCATACTGCTCTCCCCGTCACCAACACTGTACTCTGCCACAATCGACACTCTCTTCCCGCTCTTCTCTTCTCCGACAGCTGAGGTCTCAGGCTCTTCATCATCGTGCTCTTCCAAGATATGCCGCCGACTTGCCGTCGACCTCAAAACACGCGCCGGCTTCTGCAGCTCGAGGTCGCTGGCGCTGAGCCAGGTCCCGAACTCCTCAAAGGTATGTCTCCTCGAGTTTGGCACCCCCGCAGGCGCAGGCCCCCGGTGTGTGCTGTGAACGGTGACACCCGACGACATGTTCGCATCCTGCTTCGTCCGGTGCCCCGTTGCCTGATTAGACGGTGTCGGAAGCACGCCCGCAGTCTTGAGATTCCGCAGCCAGGGGAACCACTCCCTCAGCAGCGGCCAGACAAGCGGCAGGTTCGACACGTAGCCGGCGACGCTCGCCTCGCGGATGTACCACAGCATGTACGTAGGACTGTACGGGTCGGAGAGGTTGAAGATCTTGGTGAGCAGCGCCGCGACTATGACGCAGATGCCGAGACTGAAGACAAATAGGAGAACGACCTTTTGCTTCCAGGGCACCTTCATGCGAAAGACGAGCGGAATGGGAATCATGAGCATCAGTATGTCGGAAGAGATGTTGAACCAGCCCTGGAGGATGGCGTAGTTCTCATACGTCGTGCACTGCGGGTCGGGTGGCGGCATGGCCCAGTAGCCGCTGAAGGGACGGCAGGCGGCGAACATTGTTATCTGCGTCGCGGTCCATCCGAGAGCGACGTACATTGCTAGCCAGCGTACGAGTCGCTGGGCGGCAAGGTTGAGGGTGAGGCGGGTGTAGAGGATCAGCACGCAGGCTTTGAGGACGTAGATGAGGTTCAACATCGCCTGCTCCGAGACGAGGACAATCTTGGAGCCGTGGATGCGGTCTTCGATCTCGGCTTGGGTGAAGGTTCCTTCTAGTTCTGGAGGGTAGAGGTTCGAGCCGCCTCCGTCGGTGATAATGTTGAGGAGGGCTACAAGGACGGTGAAGAGCACCTAGCACGCGATAAGGGGTCAGTTTCCGCTTGTGCGATTTCTTGAGAGAATGTTTCACGCGGTAGAACACACTGCTGCGAGAATCTGGAGAAAGTCGTCGGCTTCAAAGTTGGAGACACCACCTAACCTCTTTGCTCTCCCATACCTATCGAGGGAATATGTTAGCTTGGCTCTTTTCCGACTGTTGACAAGGGCCTACTGGACGAACATTCTGAGGAAGATAAAGGCCATCCCTATTGAGTAGTGTATCCAACTCTGACGCTCCAGACTGGCGCCGAAGCTCTCGTTACCGGATACCATCGTGATGTATGACTGCCTTCGCTATGCCCTGGTCGACAAAGATGTAATCGCGCCGACGATCCCGGGTAAAACTTCTTGGGACGATCTCTCAACGGTCTATGGCATTGTTCTTTCCCAAACCAATTTCGATGCCGTAAATCTGATTCAGAAGTGATGGTGCCAAGGACATGGGTGATGAGCAAAGATCTGGATGTACTCCCACGACAAGATTGATATGGGATATGCCACAACGATATGGGCTTCCCAACGAACTCACTAACGACACCGAAAAACTTCAAACAAAGTCCGAACGGGAATCCTGTGTGACGCGGACTTTGAAGGTATTCCAGCGCCCGCCCGCTACGAAACTGGCTCCAAGTGTCTTCAACAAAGCCGGTGGGCTGATATCTGACAGTTCGAGGGCTACAATGGCGCGGTTTGAGAATTGACAAGCCTCTCCGCGTGGCTGGCTATCGAGAGAACAAGCAGGGGCCGGACAGTTCTATGGTTCAATCTTTCTCGACCCTGCAGACCGAATTGTTCGCGAAGACTCCAAGAGCTAGACTTAGTCTGTGGCTCGCTGCAGCTCACTGGTGCGCCCCGGTCGACTGGGTTCGCCGACTTGGGGAGGTTTGAGTCTTGCTGCGGTGCTGTGGTGCTTCGACAGCAGTCATGACGATAAAGAGTTTACGATTTACGAAAGGCCTACATAACATCCAGCCGCATCTAGCTTGGCGAGAGCTGGAGGCGGCGGTGGCGTGAGAATCGCCGGATGCGGCCATGTTCGCGTAGGTGATACGTTCCTCACCAATCATGAAGAGAAGACAGGTACGACGGTCGCCAAGAAGCGTGAACCATTTTCGATTCTTCACTCGGTACGCTAACTAAAGCTGACTTACGAGCTACGCTACGTGGACTAGTCTTTCTTGCTAGGTACTACAGCTTGCCGAGCGAGTGATTGCGCTCTTCTTTGTGATGAGCTCGAGGGGAGACGTCGTCCCCGATGGAATGGTCGATCTAGACTTCGAAGCGCGATGTGGTTCGCATCCGTGACCGCGCCCGCCACAGCGAAAGCTGGCTGGCTGGATCTTGACAGCATGTCTGGGCGAGGAATTTTGTAATCAGTAATCATCAACAGTCTATGAATTTGCCCTGCTTGTGGTCTGCCCCTGTCCGGATCCAGACCTCTGGAACGCAGGGTTGCTTATCAGACCGGCACTCTCCCGCGCTAACGGCACCCAAAGAATCGACTTGATCTAGATGTTGGGGTAGCACAGAGACTAGCTCAGTTCACTGCCGGCGAAGCATTCTCCCTTCCCTTCGGAATCCAGATTGCCTAGGCAATTTTGTCCACGTCGCCGAGCCGGTGGGATTGATGATGGGATCTGATAATACCATGGGAAACATGGCTCCAATTCTTCGAGATGCCCAATTGTCCCGAAATGGTATATCTTGCTTGGCTAGTAGATCCCATAATAGCGAATTGGGTCTAAGGTCATCGATGAGGGCCACTTGAGACAACCATGATAACAAATTATCCTGTTTTTTCTTGGACAATTACACTATACCTAACGGTCCTCATTTAGCCCCCGAAATAACAAAACTGCTCATCATGGAACTTACAACGCAGAATCGAGTGGTTCGTTCAGAGGTTCGTTCGTGCTAGCGACTTTGACTTGCTCCGGTCCCCTCCCTTCGGATCCCGGCCCAGGACCCTGGTCCGCCAGGCAGTCATCATTTAAGAGGTAGAGGATGACAGCATTTTAAATTTTACCTTTGACGCCTCACATTTCGGGACAATGGGTCTCCACTTCTTGAGACGTATATGTCTTGGTCCGGTATGTCCTCGGCGACGACGCCGACTCCCCGTCGTAGTCGGCCGCCGGATACCTCCTCGACCGGCCCCTTCCAGCCAATCACATCTACGCGGAACATTCTAAACCCCGTCTACCTTTTGAAGATCATTTCCCATCCATTTGGATGTGAAGGAAACTTTCTTTCTGTATGCAGTACGAGAGTTCGATTCGTTATCGCAACCCGGAGCTCGCACTCGTGAATGAAGAAAGGGAACGAGCTTAGATCAAACTGTCAAAGGGCATCTGATTTTAAGTCGAATGTTCACTAGGCGTGAACGGATGGCATCGAGATGTTCCAATGACTCTCCGACTCCAATGCTTCGGACCAATGCTGGATAGCGGGTGCTGTTGTGTAGGCCACTGCACTGGACTGAACCCCGTTGGCTTTCTCATGACAAGCAGGTATTCAGACGCCATCATACCATGTCGGTTCAGTCACTACAGCCTACTTTGCTAATTTGATGTTTACTAAATCCCGGGCCTTGAATCTGATGCGTGGAGTCGCCCTTAAAGGCTCCAGTTCTGGTCTATTATCGGAATATCTCACAGCATCTCCAGGCCGCACTGGTCCATGGGCAGAACGTGAGTGGTTCGAGACGAACTTGTGCCGTGGGCGGGCAACAAATGTATTTTCACGACTTTCGTTGATTCAATGGTACCATGGTCATGAGTTTCGGGGTAGAATCTTGACCCGTTTCTCCACCAAGTTGACACGGGGTTCGGGCGCGCCCACGGAATATGTACGTCTCAAACATCCATCTTACCAAGCCAGGCACAAACGAGGAACACGGATCGATCACCGTGATCGACGCAGATCGCACGACGGGCTGTGCCGTCTGGACTAATGACGGGAGCCCGTGGCCCCGGATGGCCAAGGCGCGGAACGCGTCTCGAAGTGTCTTCCTAGTCAAGGCTTACATTTCCTCCCCTCTTCTCAGTATAGTGGAGTGGTCGTCGCTCCTCTTCCCCTTGCAGACTGCACATCGTGTTTCCATGACTTTCCTCTCATCTTTTTCTCTCCCCGTTGTTAACCTCGTCCCCGCACTGACGGCAGCCGCGCAATCATGGTCTACCATGTCAAACCCCTGAAACGGAGGCACACACCTCTTGGCGGGCTCGCCGGCATCTTCCTAGATGTAAGGGAATGTGTGAGCAATCAAGACTCTCCTGTGTCTTTTCCTGCCTCATGTTCTCTCCTTTCCCGCCCCCTCCCTGTGGAGATTTTTCTGCCTGACTGTTCGAATATCTGCTCTTGTCAATTCGGTTCCGTCATCCGACTTTGGCGTGTGGTGGCCTGGAGACCTGTAGACAGTGACACTTTGACCTACCTTAGCTACGTTTGTTTGGCGCTTAGACGGCAGAGTCAGGTTCATCCACCGCACTGGCAGAGTTGAGGGGGAGGGCTTCCGAAAGGATCTGTTCGCCAGCCAGCCGCGCGCCGCCTGTGACTAAGGCAAGTTTGACGTGGACCGGCGGCGGCTGCGCTCGTATGTTTTGTTTTATTTGGGACACTGCAGATGTCGTTTCTCTGAATCTGTTCATCTGACGTTGACGTGCAGCGCCTTGGCGAGCTGCTAGACGATGAAGGGGTAATTAGGTGAGATGTCTGACCGCTTGCAGCGCAGTTTCCATATCCGAATAAGGTCAGACTGTTTCAGTGGCCATCAGATAGGTGGCTGAGTCAAGTTCATTGTGAAGTTCTGGCTGCGTTTCTGCAAGCTCTTTCAGTTATTTTGTTAACGGGTTCTTGTGATCCGTTTCACCAGCGAAGCAAGCATTCGCAGAGAGTGGCCTTTCTCTGCCTCCTTGAAGTCAACCGGTGGTCCGGATGGAATAAGGAGTTTCCCCTGATTGAGCTGCTTGCAGACTGGAGGCAACACGAGTTTGGGACGACACGCAGTCAAGAGGCTTGGCAACCGATGGGCGAACAACGGGGATGCTGACCTCGTGCATTTCTCCCTTCATGGTGACCCTACCTGATCGTGAACTAGTATCAAACATCTACTGCGCGCCAAATAGTCTCCTGACCCATCCCATTCTCGTCTCGAGAGCAGCCTTGGCGACATCTGACCCTACAGCGAGACCCAACAGGTCGAACCCGTGGAATCCACCACTCCAGACGTGCAGGTCCGCCTGCACGCCGCTGTCCCATAGCTTCGTAGCATAAGCCACGTTCTCATCTCTGAACGGCTCCGCAGTTCCAACGTCGATATACGCTGGCGGCAGTCCGGAGAGGTCCGTTGCCCTGCCCGGCGCGACATAGGGACTCACGTCCGCGTCCTCCACCCCTGCCTTCTCTCCCAACACGCAGCCCCATGCGGCGTTATTGTCCAGCGCGTCAAAGCATTTGTCGTCCCTGAATTGCTTCTTGGATATGCCCGTGTCCCTGTCGTCGAGCATGGGATATACGAGCAGCTGCGCGCAGAGCTTCGGCCCGCTCGTGTCCCTCGCCCTCAGTGCCGCTCCAGCCGCGAGACCGCCGCCCGCCGAGACGCCTGCAATCATGAGGCGCGCGGGTTCGATGCCCAGCTCCTGCGCGTGCTCGCTCGTCCAGAGGAGACCCGCGTAGCAGTCATCCTGCGGCGCGGGCGCCGGGTGCTCTGGTGCCAGGCGGTACTCTATGCTGACGACGACGGCGTCAAAGTCCTTTGCCATGCGCGCGAACGGCTGGATTCCGAGAAAGGCATCGCCGAGAACCATGCCGCCGCCGTGATAGAATACGATGCCTGGACGTTGGCCGCTTGCCGTCTTTGGGTTCCGGGACTGTAAGATGACGATGGGGATCTCTCCGTCTGGCCCGGCAATTTTGCGGTCCTCTACAAGTAGGTCTTCGTCGTTTCGAATCGCTGCTTGCATAGGTGCCATTGCGGTCGCTCGTAGTTGTCGCCCGTGGACTATGCCATCCCTTTCTCGCGGGTAAGCCGTCATGCGGTCCAGGGCCGGGACCAGTTGCGCGTCGTATGGCGGCCTAGGAAGTAGGTTTTCTGACGACATTTTGACTGATGTGTTTTGGAATTTCTGTCCAAAATGAAGGTTGTCCGAAGCGTGCTTGGCTACTGTGTACAGTTTCGTTGGTCGATATGGGTGCTACTGAACGTATCGTATGTTGAAGTTTATCTTGATCTTGGAGTCAACGAGATGTGATCTTATCTCCGCCGAAAAGCGTACGGAATGCCGTGGTCAGATTCCTGCCGAGGCCCGCGACTTCGCGTTGAATCCTTTGTAGATACTAATGCGCTTCTTCAGTGCAACAAACGCTGGCGTGCTATAGCCGGGCGCTAAGTCCGACTTTGTCTAGAGTGCCTAAGGAAATGGTCACATCAACTGCACTATCCTTCGACAACGGGACGACGTAGAATGGAAACTCGGCACACTGGGGCTTTGAGTTCGTCCGCAACGTTCATGAGAATGGCAGTCTACGGTTACCCCGCAGCAGTTCTCAGAGGCTTGTTGGGACCCTTGTGGACGATCTGGTAACAGGGCCTACAGGTAGTACAACGCCAGTGGACATAGTAGCCGAGCTAAAGAACCAAAGAGACAAAGATAGCCTCGGGTGGCTTTTCATTCGTGTTTGGCATTAAGACATTGTCAGTAGCCAGTTAGTAGGCACTGATCTTCCCCGCTCGCGTTGGGGAAGGGCTCGCTTTCGGGGATCCGGATACGGAGTGTGATATCTGTCTCAGCCCGAGGCCCCGCCTCCCAACGAGTGAATGATCCCGAGGCCCCGGGAAGAGTTTAAATACCGTCGTGTAGGCGACTTTATATCAAAATCCTGGCAACACAGTCGCCATGATGCAGTATCACTTCTAGATATCACAATTGGGATGCACGTATCGTCGTTCAACAGAAGCCAACGGATTTCCATGCTGTGAGATTGACGAGATGATTTTGAGTTTAGTCTAGATTGCGACCTGGAAATGAACTCAGGTGATGTCCTTTGTGAAAGCTCCATCTTAAAGCACTGGTCGTACAAGCCAGGCTGCTAAGCTTCCAGAAACCTTCGTACTCATCCTGAAGCCAAGATGCGGGGACAGCGTTTGCAGCCATCTTCGTGTTAAATGTGTGAGTAAGCGACAGCAAGGAAGCACTAATGCTGCACTGCTCGGCAATCGTATTCCTTTAGATGATGTGGCCTTGTTAGCCCCATCTGACGTGAGATTTCGTGCAAAAGGAATATCCGATGCATTTTCAGCCCTGTGGCTGATATTAGAGGGAGCTGTACATTGTGTCGCAGCCTGAGAAGAAATGCCCAGGAAATGGAGTATCGTCCGGCCGGCAGTCCGGGTTTATGAAAATTCCCATGATTATTCTGGCTGCACAGAGTAGTACCGAGTGTTCCTGTACACCCAGGCATGGCCAAAGTCCGCGTGGGCCACCTCAGTTCGGTCTGGTACTTTGCGGTATCTCAAGTTCAGCTTCACATATAGTCCGTAAATATGGGCCCGCACTGCAAGTAGCAGTGACATCAGCTGCGCAAAATCGCTTCTTCGTTATCGTTCAATGTAAGGGGATGTCTTTCCTGCTTTGCTGATTTTTGCCTCCATCAATTTTGTTCGCGACCGCGGCCCTTTAGGGAGAAGTTGGACCGAGTGTCCGAGTAGAACTAATATTCGTATGAAGCGGAGAACATAAGACGATGACAAGTGAGCGCAAAGCAAGAAGCCGGGCCGAGAATGGCCAAAGTTCTGGACCATTTGGGACTTCTGGGAAATTCAGACGCGGAAAGTCAGTTTCTTGCACCTTGGTCTTGGTGGCTCAGTTCCCCTGAAGCGATGCCAGGTAAGATTATGCAAATGTCTGTGAGTAGGTTTTGGACGGCGGTTGAAGGCGAACCCATTCGTTGAGTAAACTCGTAGTAGAAACTTTTAACGTTTGCTGTCAGGTCCCGCAATGCCTCGGCCTCCCGAAGGCGGCACAGACGGGATAGACCAGAAGACCTAGGTCACGGTGGCGTTATGATCACACCTAACTGATTGATTGAAGATTGGAGGTTGAGCAGATTAGTTTTCTCCTCTGGAGAGGACTAACTAATGTTGGATTACCAAGACGCCTTTTGTTTGGTGAAACGAACTAACCTTTGTTCAAAGGCGACTTCGCGAGTTGGCCAATCGGCTTACATCACCGCTCATAGTTTCATTTGAGGCTCCAAGAGGTGTCTACAGCTGGAATTAACATGCTTTGTCGAGAAGAGCGGTACTCAATCGATTCGAAATTACTTGGCAATCAGAAGCTGCTGCAGAGAATGCTTCTAGTAAAGTGCGTTCAGGTCCAGGTTTGGCGCACTCTCGTCAAAGAACAGCTGACGTCTGGCAAGCCTACCGGCTGTCAGTGCAGACCGGACGTTGCGATTTTGCAATGTCCGCTCACAGAGACCGTGCCAATTCGAAATGAATAGACTTCCATCATGGAGGCTATCAACTCGGATCTTGCACCCATTTTTGATCATCGCAAGCCTGACTATCATACCGTCAGATAAAACAGAGTAATTTATCGGGGGGTGATGTATTCGCCACTATCTAGCCATTGCAAGCGGCATTCGGGAGGATAAGGCTGGTCGACCGTCATACCTCCATACTGAGGCTTCTGTGTGTCATCAAAACAATCACTTCTGGATACGGCTCATGCAATGCATCCCGGTGATGACGAGCGCCGCATTGCTTCAACACCACCACCGTAGAAAGGAACGCAATCGAAGAGGAACGCCAAACTGCGCTGCCCGATTGAGATCCAATACTCGTCCAACGTCTAGTGCGACATGATGTACGGATTTCCTATTTTGCAAGAGCTCGCGTGTGCTCACCGGTAATACCTCTTTCAGCTGTGAGATTCTGTCGGTGACCGAAGCTCCAGCCCCGTCAGCAATTCGGAAGTCCCAATCCTTTATATTGTTCTGAAGGATCGCGGCTGAATGAGATGGCATGCATCGCCCCAAGCACCTGAAGGACAAGGGCATCATCAAGCTTAAAGTGCTCCCGTCAGCACTAATAGAGTATATGTATATTTGTATAAATAGCAGTTGTTATAGGTGGGGTGATAGCAAGCATATGCTGTTCTTAATGTAGAAACGCATGCGGGGTGTCAAACACAAGGCCATTCGGCCAATAGGAGAGCGTGCCGCCCATTGCGTGCCTTTGATGCTCACATGCCACCCTCCACTACCCATTTGAGCCGCTTCAGACACACATCGATCGAGGAAAACTCATGATCTCAAATATGTGGGCTTTAGAACCCGGGGAAGTCCTGGCCAAGGCGATATTAGATGACTAGTTGACATCAGCCTTCCTGTAGGGCCACAGGGCTCAACTCCACTGTCAGTGATGATAATGGCGCCAGGGCCCGATCTCGATACTGGCACCATCGCTTTGTACATGTAGACATATCGGGTTTAATGCCATGCAATGTCGAGGACTGAAGGCTTGTTACGCATCATGAAATGCTTAGAAATGGCAATGTAGCCTCCATACTCACATGCCGTGTTTTACCATCTGAACCTAGATAAGCAGTAACAAATATTCTCCAGTAAGAGAGTCGCGACGATCAATGGCTTCAAGTCGTGGTCTGTTGCCTGAAGTTCCCTGGCGGCCCTCTGCCGCGAATGGTGGCTGCATGGAGTGACTATCCAGCTTCAAGCCTACGAGACGGTTCACGTTGAGGGTGGTCGGTAGACTTTCCCTATGCAATCCCGGAATCCAAGAGACGAACCCCGTATCCGTATCCGTCGTGATTGGCAGCAGACCGGCTGACCGGCCACAGGCACACACAATCCGAGCCTTGCGATCCTACTTACTACCTACTACCAGCTTACTTTTTTCGGACGATGACTTCGACCCGCGATTCAGTTGTGGTGTGCAGCGGCTGGTACGTGGTATGCAACGTCGGTGAATCGGCCTTACGGTCCATGTACGCCTCACTCAAAATACCATGTGCCGGCTGCTGACCGGCTTCCTACCGGCCTTCCTCCCAGTCATTCTTCCACGCTGTGGATGTTTCATTGGGTGCCATATTTCTGCCATTCCGATTAAAGATGATAGTGCAAGGAGACCGGGTACGTCGGACGGTCATCTCATCTTCCACAGGCTGTCACGGAGCTGCCTCAGAACGTCAAAACCCTTTGACCGTCTGGGGCGTGATAGGTCGCATCCCAAGGGAAGTGGCTCAATTGAGGGGGTATGCTCGTCGTCTTTTCAACCCACCGCCCAAAGTTCAAGATCGGACTACAGGAAAAATCATAGCGGGTGTAGTGGAAAAAAGGGATGGTGCATGTTTCCGCGCGGGTGTGTGGTGGGCAGACCCTGTCGCTGAAACCCCTTCTCTAACTCTGTCAACTTACACACAGATCCGAGTGACGCACGCCACGAAGAGGATCTTGACACGGCTATGTTCTGTTTCCGGGATGACCAGACAGCAAGCCTCCTTGGAAGGACCGCACACCACCTTTCAGGGTAATCAAGTCGTCAATGTTCCCAGCCGACTTTTCCGACCGGGGCCTGGGTTGCACCAAATCCTTGCTCTGTTTAAGCCTCCGCCCCTCCTCTTCAACAGGTTGTTGTCAACCTCATATCTTGAGGTGGTGTAAGGTGACAAGTCTGTCTTTTACTCTTCATGTGCTAGCGTTCTTTTGCTTCTTAATTCCTTTTCGAGATCGGCCATCAAGGCATCTGACATACTCTCCCACGATACCACATGCTGGCATGGCTTAAAACTAATTCTCATCGCATCTGAGAGAACCCTTGAGAGGCATACGAGGCCCTCAATCATCTCACGCACCAACATGTGGCTTCTTAAAGCCGCTACGATAGCGGCAGCAGCTGCAGCAGCAGGTCTTCAACTTGGGCCTCTGCACCCAGTTCAATTAGAAGAGAGGCAGCTTGCCGATGCAACTTCTTTCATCGCGGAGCTACCAACTGGACAGCAACAAGCTGATCCAACATCAACAACAGCGGCCGTTGCAACAACTCCACCTCCTCCACCCCCTCCACCGCCGCCTCCCCCGCCAACCTCAACATCGACAACGTCGACTACTACGCCGCCGCCTCCACCTCCACCGCCAACGACGTTTACATCGATATCGATCCCGGCGCCAACAACCGTAATCACATCTTCGTCCGTGGCACCACCTCCCCCGCCGCCGCCACCAACAACATCAACGACATCGCAAGCTCCGTCTACTACGGTAGCACCCCCAGTATTCTCTCCGCCCCCGGCACCGACAACAACAAGCCAAGTAAGGACAACGACATCGATGCCGATCGCTCTTCCGGCCAGCACGACTGGCGCTGCAGTACAGCAGCCTCCTCCGCAAGGAGCAGGGTCAGCCCAGCCTCCAACCGAGAGACTCGTTGATCCCGCTCAAGGCGCTTTCATCGGCGGCGATCCCACGACTAACATCGATGTACCGGTCACTTTCCTCTTCCTGCTGCTCTTCGCGGCTGGTGCGTACACGCACATTAGGATCTACCGTGCCAATGCCAAACGCGGTCACAAGTTCTTGCTATCGGATCTCATGTTCGATTTTTGCATGGTCAGAACTGTCACTTGTATTATGAGAATTGTCTGGGCTTTTGAGAAGGGCCGAGTAGTAATTCTCGTCGCACTAATCGTTCAATTCGGAGGGTAGGTTCTACAGCGAATGTCCACACCCAAAGTACTGTTACTGACTTCATTATAGAGCTGTCGTGGTGATGGTGGTCAATATCTTCTTTGCTCAAAGAATTGTTCGGTCAATCCATCCTCACTTTGGATGGCATCCCGCCTTCCGGGTCTTCATCCTTTTCTTCCTTTTCTCGGTCCCGGCCGTGGTTGTCTCGAACAGTACGTCAATTGGTGTCTCATTCTTCAAGATTGAGGACCAAGACCGTGTCGACACCGCACTCAATGTCCTCAAAGCTGGTGTCTCGTGGATCATGCTTCTCGCGGTTCTGCCACTCATCATCGTCTTCATCGCAGCAGTGATTCCTGGACCTAGACCCGAGAGATTCGGGCAAGGTGATACTCACCAGAAGATTGCCGTCCTCTTCATTGGCGCCATACTGCTAATTGGTGGTCACGCGGTGCGTCTTGCAGCGACTCTGATGGCCGAGCCACCCAATACACCAAACAAACTCTTCAGTAAAGAAGTATTTTACACCACCGGTTTCATGTTGGAGATTTTCGTTGTGGTTTTCTATGCAGTTGTCCGCATCGATCTTTTATTCCACGTCCCCAATGGATCGAAGGGCCCGGGAGACTACTCCAGGAAGCCGAAGCCTGGTGAAGAGGACTACGAGGCTGCACTCCTCACCAGAGAAGAAATCGAAGATGAGCTGGCCGGACTGGGCCACCCGTATGAAGTTGTCGACTCTTCCGGCCTGGGCAGAGATGGTTCTGGCCGCACCATTGTTGCTTTCAGCACAAGACGTATGAACGGCGAGAAGCCTGTCGTACTACCGCCCAGACCAGAAGCATACAGCCGTGTCAGATCGATCCGTGGGTCTGTCAGGTCCATGCGTGGCTCCATGAGGTCTGCTGGCGGTGGCATCTCTCGGATGATGTCAGTGCGCAGGTCTGCTGCCGCACCGTATTTGAATGAGGTCGAAGTCGGTCAACCCGAGTTCAGAGACAATCCTTTCCAAACACCGCCAGTCAGTCATTACGGTGTAGCACAGCCGCTGTTCATTCAGTCGCGGTTCAGCAGATATACGGACCCAGAGGATGCGAGGACACCTTTGCGACCAGAAAGTCAGGCAACGTCTGGAGAGATCCCGCTGAGTCTTGATCGAGAAGGTCTCGGCCCTTACGAGGGACGGCCACTAGCTCGACGGTCATCAGTACAAAAGTTCACAGCACAGGAGCGGGAGGGGAACCCCTTGAAGTAGAGGGCTTATGAGTATGAATATAGACAGTACATGTAGTGGGAAACCGGAATGGATACTAGCGGGATCAGCTTGGTTGCTGGAATGACAGCAGTATGGTGGAGTTCCAATACATATTTGCCAATTATTGTATATAGTAATCCAAGTTAGTGTATAAATCTTTACACTGTTGTGCGCAAGGCAAACTTCTCCGTGAATTTCTACCCGATGGGCGGAAGTGTATAGAGTTAATACTGACCCAATGATGTGTTTTATATGTCTCTACTGTTGATCTTGCCACATTGCTACATAGCCTACGTGTTGTAGGTACTCCGGAGATGTAGCGTCTAGCACCACATGTATGAGTAGATTCGTAAAGGAGAACATTGAACGAACGCTCTGTAGAAGCGATTGAACGAGATTTGTCTCTCTGAAGTTCAAGGTATATTAATTTCGAGAGAGATTCTCCCATTTTTATATATGACGGCCGCTTAGCATGTTCGTGACGGACCCTGCCGCAATACATCACCGCGCCCATGCCCAAACCCCTTGATCGTACACATTCTTATCCTTGCTTCAATGCTTCCTAAGACCGAGCAATCCCATTAGTCCACCCAAGAGTCCTCCTCCACCACCTGGTCCCGCCGCCGGAGCTTCTGCTGGAGCCTCCGGGGCAGCAGCAGGAGGAGGCGGGGGATTGTCGATAGCAGTCGCTAGCCCAACGGCAGTCCCGTCCGGCATCACGGCCTGACAAACAGTTGTGGAACCGGGAGGGGCGGCCGGTGGACCTGGAGGGGGTGCGGCGGGAAGAGGCGCGACAGAAGTGCCACCGAAGACGCCAATGCCTTGGTCTAGAACGGTGCTGAGAGCCGTTGCGCTCTTTTGTGCATCGCCATTGAGTTCGGGAGGGACCTTGCTGACAAGAGCCTGGGCGAGGGCGACACTAGCAGACTTTTGATCCTGAAGAGCAACAGCCACCAGCGGTGTTGCGCCCAGAGAGTCAACCAGAGACTTCTTCGCTACAACATCATTGATGGTGACCTTGACGTTGTTTGTGAGAGCGTCCGTGGCAGCCTTGAGATTAAGCGCATCCTTTTTGTTGAGGACTTCGGATCCCTGGACCTGGGTGGTGGCGTCTTCGATGGAACTCTTCACATTGCCGACGGCATTCAACAGCTGGATTCCGCCACCGAGGGTGACCGTGTTCGTGGCTTTCACGGAGTTATCAAGACTTTGAAGTGCTGAGTTGATAGTATTTAGAGCAGCTTGAATCGTTGCCAGGTCGCGCTTGTACTTGGCATGTTGTATAGAGACAGGAGCGGCGAGAACTGTGACCGCAGCAAAGGTAAAGGACAACAGAGAACGTAGTAACATCGTGAGCCTGCCGGAAGCCCGTCTCCTTGGACGAAAAGGATTGAAGTTCTGCTTCCTTTCAATATTAAAGAGAGTGTGGTGGGGAGGGAGGGAGGAGACAAACGAGGAGGAACTTCAGATCGTTCCAGCTCGGTGGGTTTGGATTATGAGTTGACGGATAGTAGGTGGGCAAGGAGTCTGTGAATGAAGTTTGGACACGACTACGACGTCCATATAACGCAAGGGAGAGGGAGGTGATGGCAGGGCCAGGCCCATCCCAAAGCGACTTGGCTGCCGCAGGTCCCGATGTCACCAATGGGCCTAGCCTGAAATTTGGGACTGCCGGCTCTCTCATGAGGCAAAGTTGAGACGGTCTTGACTTTCGGTGTGGGAGTAGTGACATCCGCGATGTGAGCGGAGGGTTATTTCCTGCAGGCTGTCTCCTATCAACAGTCTGGGGCCAAGGTTGTAGAAGGTTGTGCAAGATGAAGCCATGGGTACGGCGTTGTGATGGCCGGCGAGCTGCGCGATTTGGTAATGCGAGCCACATACATTTCATATCGGTTCCCTAAAGAAGCAACTTAGTTCGAGTTCTAGTTTCAGGTACCGAAAGTCCAGACGATTCAGACCACTCGAATTGGATATGCTGGATATGTTATCTTCCTACTCCCACCGGCTCGGTTTTCAAGACGACATTGCATCCATACCGCCGACTCAACAATGCAACGACCACTGCTTGGCTGCAGCCCTTGACGACCTGATATTCTACCAAATGTTTTTACGTTCATGCGTTCTCCGTCATGTTGAATTCCCTGAGTAATATCGAGGTGTAGAACAGTTAGACCACGACTGTGACGTGAGGGGATATTGCCGAGTCAGGCATTATCAGCTCGGACTCCCCCATATCATGTCATCGAATGAGTTTCCCGATTCAATGTTGATACAACCTTGACTCTACCCAGACCGTCTCAACTCTTTCTCGTTTTCGTTTCACAACTCGCACAGGCTTTGTTTCCTTAAACAGGGCATTTATATGGTCTAATTCCGATCCGTGAAATGATCAACCCATGGCAGGGAAGGGGGGAAGCAGGGCTTAGTTGACAGCGGTCCCCTAGACTAAAGTCAAAGTCTCCAACCTGTCATCGTCCAAGCCAGAAAACGGCTTTGGGATTTCGTCATCCTCGAAGTTCATGATACGAGCAGTTCCGACCACTTCGAACTCCTCGCCTCGTGGTCGGAGAATCAGCTCTTCCATTAAGCCGGCCCCGACCACCGGCACGTCACCGGTTTGGACTTGGCCGTCGCACACTGCCAGCATGCCCTGGCCAACCAGGCAAAGGCTCAGGCCCTGACAAGCCAGCAGGACGCTAGACGTGGTGTCAATGTCTGTCATATTCTCGTTCATCATTGACCAGCCAATGGACTGTGCATTGGGTCTCTGGCAGCCTCCATGCGCGCTCACGCATCGTCCACGCCGAGAAGCGGATTTGACGAGTTTTTTTGTCGACCGTTGTCCTTCGACAGTGAAACCCATCATGAGCCCCCTGTAAAAGTTTGCCCACCAAGTCTGCGTGATATCCGCCTTGGGTTTGAATTCATCGTCGCTTGTCTTTTTGGTTGCTAGACTCGCGATGAGAGCAAGTAAGGCTTCAGCACCACGTCTTCGAGACGGAAAGAATTCCAGGCTCTCAGCAAAGAGGAACCATTTAGCTACTGCGGGTAGTACTAGATCTTTGATATCTTCGCCATAATTCACCGTCGTTGATAGGTATCGTGCGTTTGGTACATGGGATCCGCTAATCATCGTCACAGGCGGCAGGCGTCGAGCCCTGATTAATAATTGTCCGGTGTTGCGTCCGCTTTGCAAGAGGCCAATTGCCGAAACCTCTTCAGCGATGATCGGTGGAGGATTCGAAAGCAGGTCCCACTGATCTTTAAAACCTCCAGGGCTGAATTGGCTGAAATCTGGAACCCATGATGGCAGTCCGTCTACTTTGTCTTCGCTAGACCCCATATGCAAAACCCAAAATGAACCCGAATGAAGGCAGAGGGCCAATGCGAGGTCCTCATATACTCTGGTGACGGGTTTCGTGTAATCCGGATTCGGCACACTGATACCGAGCCTTCCGAGAAGGTTATGAAGTGAAAAGCTCTGGTCGCGTTTGTCCATTGCGTTTCTCCTTCTGATCGTCTTTATCAACCGGGTTGCGAGATATGCAGAGGCCAGCTTCGGGATATTCGAGTTTTCGTGCTTCTCTCCGAGTAAGGCTGAGCGATAATTCATCTTCATCCCGAAACTGTCTGCGAGATTGACTAAATCAAACTCGCTTGTTCGGTGCCCAAATTTGCGACCCGCGAGAGTGGTCCAGTGCTTTAGACACGCATTCAAAGATTCCCAAGAAAGGGAAGACTTTCCTAGCGTGATAACCACATGCTCAGATAAGCACAGTTCTTGCAGCGTCCATGTCCTTGTAAACCAAGGGACCTTGGTCAGAAGCTCGATGGCTTTTAAGACGTTTCTGCTTGGGACTGCATTCGTATAAGTTTCAGCTCCAGGAGCAAGCACGGCATGTGCTGTCTTCACTGTTGGTTCCGCAAGGTTGTGCGTAAGAGGGATAACTCACGTCGCGGTGTCGAGCGCTTTGCCTCCGGCGAAGCTCTCAGCAAGAGTCCCACCCATCTACATCGTCGGAATAAGGAGAGCAGTAAGTTACCGGGTGACTCATCCGTACCAATCCAAACAATTGTGCGCGCGGCGAATCTGTATACATCTCCCATCAAAGCCACCTGGACGTTTTTCTCCGGAATACTGGACTGGTCGATACAGATTGCATCAATCCAGAGCACACGTTCTCGATCGGAATACCGCAAATGACGCAAAGCCTCTAGACAGTTCTTCGTGACGTCAACACGGCAACCGTTGCACCGTATCGGGTGTTCGCCACGTCTCCCGCCCCAGACGTACGAGAGCGCTTCGTATGGTGTTGTCTCCTGCGATGAGCTTCCTAGTCGCACCTCTCTCAAATCGCATTGAATTGGATCGTCCAACTCGATTGATGGACTCAAAATTACAATGCGAACTGATCTCTCGCAATTAAGCGGTGCATACTGTAAGAATGGAAGACTGTCGGCGGCGACACTCGCTGAAAGTGACATGATGAGCCAAATATAAAATGAACAAAGTTCAAACCTCAATATCTGGCTACTTGAGATGCGGAATCTCCAAAGGCTTAGTCCAGAAATGCTAAAGATTGGAAATGAGGTGAACAGGAAGCCAGACAGGGGAGCTTACATGTGGACAGATGCTAAGTGTCTCATGTCGGTTCAAGTATCAGGAGCCCAGAAACTCATGTTAGACAGCTGTAGGCGAGGCTTGCAATCTTCCAAAGAACATCAGTTTGTACAGGCAAGCCTGTGGCTGAGTACTCAAGTGTCTGCCTTGCCACGTCTGACATGCATTCTGTCGCATGGTCAGAAGCGAATGAATGCTTGTGACGGCAACGCACTACTGCAAGCTGCCGCCACATTCACGAAATGACCATTCGGAAGCCAATGAAGTTCAAGCAAAAGGGGAACATCTCTGTTTTCTTTGCCGCGCGATGATTTCCAGTGGCACAGTCCCCGTATCTATGCAGAGTAAGCAGCTGGCGGCATCAATTTCAGTTCGCCATCATAGGCGCGTAAGGCAGCCAGATCTCGAATGAATGGGAAGAACTGCAAAGAGATTGCTGAAAAGGGGTATTTTTCCACGAGCAAATTCTTGCTCTCTTCATTTTTCCAAACGCAACAACTGACAGCACATAACTTTGCTTAAGTAACTTCAAAGGATACCATGGCAGAACTCAAGACTACAGGTGGCGAGCCGCTTCTTAGCACTGGACAGACAAACGACAAGCTCGAAACAGCAGTTGAGAACCAAGAGTCAGATTCCAGCTCAGAGAAAATTCCAGAGTCGGACTCCTCCGCCCAACAAGACACGGACGATGGCTCTGATAGGGACTCCGGTTCCGGCAAAGACGATGAGCCCAGCAAGAAAGCCGTTCAAAACCTTTATGAAGGCAAGAAGGAATGCAATTGCTGCATCAACTGGGTTGAAGAAGAACCAGAGAACAAGAAGGAGGCTGCGACTGGCACAGTCATCACAGTTCGCCGCAACCGAGACCATGAAAAGGAAAAGTCGCTTTCATTGCATTCCATCTTGGTGCACAGCGAGCAATTGAAAGACACTTTGCGAGACGTCCTCCGCGGCACTGGTTCCGCCATCACTTCCAGGGATTTCGTTCTTGAGCGGCCTTTTGAGAACGTCTTTCACCGATGGGCGGCGATGACAGAAATGTTCAAGAAGTCAGAAGACAAGGAAGATTTGCAGCATTTCAAGTTGCTTTACGAAGTCTTGTCCACAGAACTAGGCGATTTCTTCGACGAGGTGAACGATCTTCTGTCTAATAGCTTGATCACATATCCCCTCCTCTGGACAATCTTTCCTCGTGGCGAGATCTGTCTGTCCGCAGACGAATTGGGACAGGCTGTTGCTGTGAGAGCTCGTAATGGTGCATACTCGAAAGAAGGTTACCGGCTCAAATGTGACTTCATCGACACGGATGGCAAGACTTTTGGACTTGCAGGCATATGCCTGGAGATACCTTGCTTCAAGGACGCAGCATCAATCGCAAGCTTACCCGTCAGCCCTCTCAAGTACAACCCAGAGGCGGAGGGAATCAAGGAAATTCTGGTTCGTCGAGGACGGCGCTTTGCAGAGCTCTCTGGCTTCCATCACAAGAAGTGCAACGGTCAAGAGTGGTACATTGGGCGCAAAGACGCTTGGCAGCCGAGAAAGGTATGCTAGTCGCCCTCCCTGATCCTTTTTCTACCTTACTCGTTGCTAAGACACTCGGCAGTCAACCGGGCGTATTATCATTGACCCCGAGACATTCGACGATAACAACCCTGCTAAGGCCGTGTTTCTGAGACCTTTGAGCTCAGACGAAAACGACGTGACTTCATTTGCAAGATCTTTCAAGTTAGTCAGGGATAGTGAGTTTCTGTTGTGCGGAAGCACAGTTCGGGGGTACTCCTTGAAATCGAAGGCTTGGGGTGAGTGTCGCTTGTTAAGCTCCCAAAAGAAAACTTGAATTGACGAGACTTTGTAGCCAAGTTCACTGTGGACGATGTTGGTGAGATTGAATGGAACGATACCTGCGCGTCGAACCTCATCCTTCCCAATGGGTACAAAGATCTCTTGCTATCTCTAGTTGAGGAGCAGATGCTTGCTGAAGATGGCTTCGATGATTTCATCGAGCAGAAGGGTACGACAAGCTATTCATGTGCGTGAACAATGAAGGACGTCAGGCTAATTATGGCCAGGCCAGGGCTTGGTCCTCCTCCTCAGTGGCGACACAGGTGTTGGCAAGACACTGACAGCCGAAGTCGGTAGGTTTCCTGAACCTCCTATGTCGTTTGGCATAACGCGATTCAGCTGACAGTCTCTCCAGTGGCCGAAAAGATGCGTGCTCCTCTATACGCAGTCAGCGCTGGCCAACTGGGATTCGATGCCGAAGAGCTTGAGGCAAGACTGAAGCTAGTGTTAGACATAGCGTCTAAGTGGGACGCTGTACTGCTACTCGACGAGGGCGATGTCTTTCTTGAGAGGCGGACGACATCTGATCTTCATCGCAATAGATTGGTCTCCAGTAAGTTGCTTTAAAACCACCAGTGGACTTTTCGAAGACCGCACTTTGAGAGTTAACATTGTTCAAGTCTTCCTTCAACTTCTAGAATACTACTCAGGCACTCTAATAATCACCACCAATCGCGCCGCGGTTATTGACGAGGCAATCAAATCACGCATTCACATCAACATCAGGCTTCCCGGGCTGACTATCGAGGCCCGCAAGAGCCTATGGGAGAATCTGCTAAAGGAAAACAAGATCAAGCACGGCCTTATCAAGGCTGACTTTCAGTCATTGGCAGAGGTTGATGTCAACGGAAGAGAGATTAAGAACGCTCTCAAGTCAGGCATACTTATGGCACGTAAAGCAAAAGAGCCTGTATCGATGACTCAGCTACGTGTTGTTCTAGACATTCTCACGGCATCGAAGACCACTTAGATATACACATGGATACCGTTGATCTCAGTCACCACCTTGTTCATAATGCGCGCAAGTATGCTAGGAAATTGTAGACGAGATTGCATCCTGAATGTAATAACTTCATATCAATTATATCCATAGAGCCCAACAGCATGGCGCATCAAGTTCATGCTACAGGACATTGGCCACTTGGATATGTAGAAGACTGGCTCACTTTTTTGTCAAGATGAATCTTAGTCCATGATACTCTAAGTGATATCATAATATTACGGAAACTCATTGGGACTTGTGCTGCATTCAATGAGGCAGCCGTCAACATTCATATAAGCTATGCGTCCTCTTCGTGCATGCTATGTGGGAATGCCAAGTGATGGACGATTCCCCTAAGTAAGGTAGAACCCAAGAACTGACGTGATGACTACCGTAGCCCCTTTTCCTCAAATCCTTCAATGTCTATCAATTGATCAATCTGCACCATCTCCATCCTCAAGCTGCAACATTGTACTATCCGAATCTCCCAAGCCGATATCTCTTCAACGCCCCTAATGGCTCTCGCATCGTCATCTAGACCTTCCTTTACGAGACTGTAAGAGCTTGCAGTCTTGTGGTCAACTTTCGTCTCTCGGCATTGTTGTGGACCATCTGGAGTTTGAACGCATGATGTGGCGCGCTCTGGCTGACATAGTGAGCCTGGGTTGCTGGTTGTGACCCCTTCACGTGCATTTCATGGCAGGAGCATTTGATTAGATGTAGTTGCATGTAGGCTATTGGCATCTTGGAGCCGATAGCTGGCTATCGATCCATGTGGGCTATCCCACGGATCGGCCACTATCCAGGGAGCAACTGGTCGTCTGAAGCCAACTTCTTAATGTAGCCCGGTTCTGGTCCAGGTCGCGTTGAAGAGCCTTCCATTGTTACATTGCGTAAAAAAGATAGGCATAAGCAGTCTCGCGCTTCGCGCAGAATTGTATCAATGGTTTACCTGTCGCTCAAGATGTAGTCGACCGGTGTTCCATACTCACACCCCGTACTTCGGCACGATCTTAGTACAAACCTCTCAACTCAAAACCTTCAGTAAGCAACAGCAATACGCAAGATGACAGTCTAAGCCGGATATTCAAACCTAAAGCTTGCATTTATGGTCATCTCAGCTTCCGGTATCTCTGTTGATTATGCGGCTGATTGAGGTAGAATCCGCAGCTCGCACGTCTTCCCTACTGACATATGTACTTAGGCGCCTTCATACCCAGGAATCACCAGTTACAGACAATCCAAGTTGGCGAAAAGTGAATAAGTAGTGTGAACCCAAGTTGTTGTATCACATTCGGGGCTTACGAGAGAAGCACCGCCCACATGGGCCTCATAGACACGTTCGCAACATGAAGCCACCATGTTGCAACTCACACGTTCAGTATGTATTGCACTCAAACGGAAAGATGGTGAGTGGAGTAGGCAAGTCGCCACTAGATTACCTTCGGTAAATAACTAGAAATAATCTGCTGTCCGGGCTAGACCAGAATTTTCTTCTAGGTGAAATCACAGGGGGTATGGTCCATTGACAACTTCGTCGTAAATACCAAAGTAGCTATGAGGACAAAAACCTTCCAATCATAAAGCAGGCTGTATTTGTGTAGCTCGACGGAACATGCTTCGACGGCCATCTGAATTGCGACAGTATTGAAAAATCCTGCAGATCAAGAGCGTCGAATGATGCGTGCTCTACCATTCTAGCATCTACTTGCCAGCTTCACGACGATCCGGTATGTGGGCGCGCGACTCCTAGTCGAAAGTCTGTTGATCAATATCAACAGGCTTTTAAGCTTAGATGGCGAGATGAAGTGACCGGCCGACCATGCTGGAAATTGCATCGTCCGAGCGCTAACCATCCCCTACAAGTCCGCAGGGCCCAGTATTACGAGCACGATATCCGGTGGGATTGACTCGGGTAGGCATTTAAGGTTGCCTCACCTGTAGATTAAACAGAGCCCACTCACTGCCGCGCCCCTTTCGAGCACTGCACAGTCGGGAAAGGCCAAGCTTTCGAACTTGATGGGGTCTTCTGCCCACCACCGTCTCAAGTTCATGAAAAGCTCTCTATCTCACCGTGGATGGACATTCCGGACGACGTCAAGCAATGCTAGCGGAATCGAGTAAATGAAGCCAGTGCAACGCGTAAAGAGAACCAAAAGGAACTTCATTCAGGGGCGAGAGCCTTATGGTTATTAATTCTCCGTTCCCTTTCCTTCAATGGTGCAACGCGGCCACCAGTAGAAGGGGGATCGCTCGTAGTTCAAACTGCTGATCCCCGGGCTGGCTAATGCGCGCTTGCGCTGTGCAGCGGTGACCCCACGAATTGCACAGCGGGTGGCGCTGTTTGAGAATGCGCAAACGAACACGATCGACAAACGCAGGAAGGATGAATTATCCTTCTTGATCATCAACAATTGGAGCTCAACCGCAAGGTGTCAACGAAAAGCAAGCAGACATCGGAAGGTTTGACAAAAGCAGAGCAGAGTTCTAGGGGGTGAGTTCGTTCGAACTAAATTGAACGGGGGAGCCAATGGTCTGTGGAATTTTGGTTGATTAAAGGCTGGTTTGAGCTTTCGCCCCAGCTTCGAGGGCAGCTCTCTCCTTCAGTCTTAGGTGCATTCGTGTGTCAATTCGTCAAATGAACTTGGCGTTTGCGGACTGATCTTCTTGGCTGGAAGAGTACAACCTTTCCATCACTCTCCCTGGACAGGAACTTAGGTTCCCCGATCTGGCCTTTGCGCCCTCAAGTCCAACCAGCACACCCTGGGAACGTGACTCGCTGACGATCGAAATGCGGAGGGTTTTCTTCCACCCATCCAGTCTGAAAAACTTCAAATGGACCTGAAGGAGTAGGCTTGCGAGATTGATTGGCGGACCTTGAGGGCGAAAGGGGCCGTTTGACGTGCGATCCCCCGTCACCAAGAAAAGCTCAATCCGGGACGGCCGATCTAATCTTTCAGGCGCTGGCGGCCACGGCGTGGGCGGGGACGAAAGACATTCTGAAACGATGCGGTTCTCACCTTTGGCGAAGGAACCATGTCGATGTTGAATGTTGACTAAACATCCGCCTCTGGTCACGTCGAAGACACCAGCCTCTGAGAGACTGAAGAGAGGAGAGCTGAGCCTCCTTCCAGCCTCAATCGGGGAGGAGGACGATGGGAGACTAAGAGGAATCGAGGAAGTGGTCCCGGCCGGGCCGCCCACATCGGCTTCGAAGCCGCTGGAGACTTTGAGTAGAAGCTGGCGAATCGGGGGCCGGAAAGACGGCAGACAGCGGGACGTCTTGGCGGGAGAGACGGGGACCGGGCCCCCCTAGAACCCTGAACCCTTGGCCGAGGAATGCGAGAAATGGTAGGGTAGCGAAGCTGGATGGCACGCAAGTGGCTTGAGGTTGTAGGGAGAGCAAGGGGAAGGGCGGAGGGTTTGTCGCACGAAGTCGTTTTCGGACCCCTTGGCAGGCAACTCTGAAACTGAGAAACATCGGCGCCAGTGTTCCATTACTCGCCTCTTCTTGCCTCGTGCTGCCTCCTCGGTTGCACTTGTCCGCATTGTTCGTCTCTTGGCGACAGGCAAGGTTTGGAAAGGTTGCGGGCTGCTCCTCCAGTCTCCTCCGCCAAGTAACCTCAACCCACACGGAGAGGAGCAGAGGAAAGGCAAACAATCCCAACTTCTCTCTGCCAGACTGCCCCAATGCCCCCCAAAGCCAGGGATGGCACAGTGAATGGGTGGTGTGGGTGTTCGCAGCAACAGCGCTTCCTGACGCAATGACATGGACAAGACAGCGGCTGCACGGGCTCTAGACAGGCCCAGAGGAGCTGGCAACGTTGCAAGGGTGGATGGAAGAGACGAGACCAAAAAGTAAAGACGTCCCTGTTTCTTCCTTTTCAAAGCCCTCTTGGAGGTTCTTCTGTACGTTAACCCTTCACGTCGTTCGGCAACCAACAACTCTGGGAACGTCACTCTTCCCCCCCTCCTTTCGATACAAGGCCAAGATGACTTGAAGCTTCTTTCTTGAATTCGCAAGTTTCCCTTCGTCGCCTTTGTCACCTTCTTTACCTTCTCTTCGCGGGCAGTGCCCTTTTCTTTTCCATTCGACCTCCCTCTCAGCTGCGCTGCTTCATCAAATCTGTGTCTCGACGACCTAGTTTCATACCTTTGTGACTTTTCCCTCGACCGTAGACTCGGATTTTTAGCACTTGATCAACAATCAACAATCCAACCTAACTGTTTACTCAATACCAAACTCAAAATGGTCTCTCCTATGGGCACTCTCAGGAGGTAGGTTATTAATTCTGAAAGCACGAATAAGTAATAGCGAGACTAAGTAACCGCATAGGCGCGCTATTCGCCGCCCGAGATACATCAGAGACGATCTGCAGATTGAGGTCCGCGATGACAAGGGCGAAATCTCATCCGACGATGAAGATTCCCCCTCGCCCAAGAGCACCACATTTCCACCCGGCGCGAGACCAACGGCGCCCCCTCCGCCACCAGCGGTTGGAGTGGCTCCGCCTGCCGTTCTCAACCCCGCCAACCCGACGGATACGGAGAGCAGCACATCGAGCGATTCCCCCTCGCCCACGTCCACCGAGTTCCCGAGACCGACTGAGCCTCCGCGCGGCCCGCAACGTGGAGAAACCGGAGCTACGCCTTTTTCTTCCTCCATTAGCACCACGACTGAATCATCAAGCTCGACTAAGACTCTTCCCACTGCCATCCCGAACAGCCGCAGCACCACCAGCTTCGATGCGCAACCGACAGGGGGGACGACCAGGGGAGGCAATGAGACGGGCCTAGGGAACGACAGGTCTGATGACATTGGATGGACACCGACTGCGATCGCGTTTGGGACTATTGGTATGTTATCTCACTACCCGTCACTGCCATCGAGGATGGATGCCACGTCTTCATGAACACCTAATCTAACCATACTAATAGCCATCGCTGCCCTCTTCCTCGTCATTGGCGTCGGCATCTGGTGGTGCCTCCGCTACCGAAAGCGCCGTCAAGCCCGCCACCTCTACGAACGAAGCATCTCTCCCGACAATCATCAATACTGGGATCCCTCATCAACCTTCTCACCTCCCACCATGCCTGCCGCCCGTCCATCCCGCCGCTCACCCTCAAGCATCTTTGCCGAACTCATGGGCCACGCCTACGCCGCAGAGAATGGCAGTGCAGGAAACGGAACGTACGGCAACGACCGCAACTCGCTTACACCCCAAGGCTACCTTGACGAGAAGAGATACGATCCGGCCCGCCAGCTCCCGATCCTCGAGCCCGCGCCCGTCGCTCAGCCCAATGTCCGAAACTCCATCGCCAGCTGGATCCGTCGCCACCACCCCCTTAAGCTAAACCCCATGTCCGGCCGGAGCAGTATGTATTCCACCCGCAGCGGTTTCGGTGCCAGCACGAACAATGTCAACGCACCGCCGGTCCCGAACGTACCAGACGCCTACCGCAGCACCGAGCAAGTGCAACAATCCGGTCTTGCTCCTCCGCCTCAGCAGCGCTATGCGCCGTCTAGCCAATATCACACCGGAAGCCCTTCAACAGACTACAACACCAACTCCCTCTTGTCTCTGTACCAAACTCGACCACCCCAGCAACCCGGTCAACAGCAAGCCCCAGCAGCTCCGTGGCTTCAGGACCCGCCACCAGTCGTCTTCGGCGAGCGTGGCGTCTCCATGGCCCCGACTGAAGCGACTGAAAGCACCTGGCGAAGCTGGGGCGGCGGCGTAAACAACCCGCCTCAGCACCAGCAGCAAGCGCCGCCCGAGACTCCGCGCAAGGGCTGGATCGAGAAGTGTATCAAGTTTGGAGGTCTGAAATAATTGGGCTTGTACAAAAGAGCAAAAAGAACATGGGTTGCTGCGACTAGTTACTTACACCCCCACGCCTGCGATACCGCAAAAAGCCGATACCATAGTGTTAAATACCTGTTTCGAGTGTGCATATTGAGCGAACATACCAATCCGTACATACAAAATTGAGATTCTACGAGATCTGACTAGACTCGTTGACAATGATCTGACTCCCCAAACTCACCCAAGAATACCACTGAGTAAGTTCTCATCGGTAATAACACCAGCTGGCGTGCCTTAGATGTCATGAGACTATGATTATGCACCCACCACGAGCGCGCCACTGCTGATTGTCAACAAAGTAACCAATCAACATAATGTTGGATATGCGTCAGACGGTCATCATCACTATCACAGTAATCTAACGGGCTAAAATCAATCGCTTGGCAGAAGAGTCAGGCTCTCACCGAAATTGTGGCCTTTGGCACCCAGCACCTCTCCTGCCGCGACTTCACCTGGAGCTCTAGTAACTATCGTGAAACCGCAATCAACAACACAAGCATATGCACAATCATCCGCTTTCCGAAGTGCAGTCCTGTCTCTTCCTTCATAAGTCTCGAGGGTCATCACTCACAGCGATCAGACAAGCTGCTCGAACCAATGCTAATCACCTGGTTTTCAAAGTTGCCAAGACCTTCAGATATGTGTAAACAACGATGGCGGATGCATTACTCTTGCGGCTGTGGCTACTATGAGACGGAATGGCAGACTATTCAGTGCAACAGGACACGGCTTCACATCAACACCACCTACACAGGTGACGCCGGGATCTGCATGGCATGCGATGAAGACCCAGCCTAAGCAGCGTTGCGATTACATGTACTATTGCACCTCACAATCGATTTGGCCGCTCCTCCGTCGTTTGGTATGGAGGTCAGACTTGAGTCCAAGTAATCCATACATGTATTCGCTAGAGCCAAATACTTCAGCAGACTTTCAAGGAACTTTCAAGTCACCTCACTTCGTGCCAGCGATACAGTTCCCCATCGTGTGCGGTCTCTGCCCATTCAAGGCAGCCCTCAACTCCGTCTCAAAGTCTTTGCACCAAGCTTCCTCTCCATAAACAGGCTTCCATCCCAACTTCTCCCTTGCCACAGTCCCCTTTGTCTTGCGATGCCCAGCATACCCAGTCTCAGCAACATCCATATTCCCAGCACACGTCTCCGCCGCCTCCGCAAGGCTGACGTTCCTCACAATCTTCTCCTGCGGCCCTCCTTTCTTGGGAAGATTCCCAGTGGCAAACGCGATGTCGAGACACTTTCGCGGAATATCAATCGTCAACGTCCTCCCCACGGTCGGAAACATGATCCCCTTCTTGCCCTTGGGAACATTGGCCCCGCCACGCTCGATGATGTCTAGGACACACAGAACGTAGAGGTCCGCGAGGTCGGAGACGTGAACGTAGTCGATACAGCCCGTCTTATCGCCCAAAGTCAATCCACAGCCGTTTTCGAGCACGTAGCCCGTCATTATGGGAATCATCAAGCCCGCCTTGTTGAAGAGCCCCGATCCGGGCCCGAAGATGCATGGTGACTGAATACTGACTGCGTTGACACCGATTTCTTCCCCAACTCGGAGCACAGCTAGTTTCTGCGGTCCGTTGAGGATACGGATCTTTTGCGTCTTCGGCTTCTTCAAACTCATACACCTTCTCGGCAACGGCGTCTTCGTATTCAGCATCAGGCCTGTTCACTCCAGTCAAGGGCTTGTCCGCGATATTGGATGCGCCCGACGTGTGAATGATCCAGACCGGTTGTCCTCCGTTCCGATCCTTGCGTTTAGCGAGACCGTGAACGAAGGCCTCTGCCGAGGGCGGATGGAAACCTGAGCCTGCGTTGATCACGATGTCATGCTCGGAGGCAAGGGCTGTCAGGGCCAAGGTGTCGTCGTAAGAGACGATGGACACAGGCTTCACAAGTGATCCGTATGAGTCCGTAAGCTTTGCTGCGCGGTCTAGACCGCCGCGGACTAGTAACGTGATTGGAGAGGAAGAGGTAATGATGGAAGTGAGGGAAGGGTGTTTGAGGAGGTGGTGGAGTACGGAACCGCCAACATAGCCGGTTGCGCCGCTCAGAAGGATCTTTGGTGGTAAGTTTGAACCTGACATGATTAATGGATGAATGAGAAGCTGCTCTCGATACAATGAGTTAGGACGGACGAGTTGGCCAAAGTGTCTAGAGGTTGAAGCAGGAATTCGGCCTTCATATAGGTAAACCCCCCAGCTTCAAAGATGACCACAGGCGAGACAACCCTCTGCGGAGGGCTCATTGTTATCGCCCAGCATTATAGACCGCCAGAGACGCTCCCAGAAAGTCAAACCGACGAAACCAACAGACCCCTCGATTCTCAGCCCGCTGAAGAATCCACGGACCCTAGAGAGCATCGATCAATCACCGTCAAGAGACCACCGGACCGGACTCCGCGCTCCGCTCGCGCGACCCAACTCTGCAAGCTTTTGTGTCATTGCAGTCCGTCTTTCTCCACTTCCAAGGGTTTGCACTTGCTGTTTTAAGGATGGTGTGATGCATGAATGTTGTTGGTGAACCAACAGGTTGAGCAGCACCAACAATCACTTGGACTTTCGCATGACCAACGTCCACTGTAGGGAATATTTCGGGCACCAATGGTGTAAGCTCTCCGCTTGATATCGTAAGATCCCGAGCCCGAGGTTTATGGGACAGTAACTCTCGTTATGATTCGCCGAAGCTGGTTCAAGGTTCATCATGGCCTACCTTAGAGTTCGAGCCTTATCCTGTATGTTAGATCACAAATCGGACCTCGCTTCGGTAACTTTGTCAACATGACGTCCGTTCCAGCTATTAGATGGCTTCTTTATAATTCTTTTATTAACCCCCGCATTATGAAGCGGCCTCTTATAGGCCAATCTTTGCTGCAAGATAGTGAACCGCAACCTTCGTAGTAAGGGCCAGAATGCCGGTGGCAGGGATTTTGTCGTCATCCGAACGCCTCTGCCAGCCAAGCTCGAACGGCAGTCTCTCGTTCTCTGTGAAAGTCGACGTTAGCTTTCTCGACGGCTTCAGCAATAGTAAGCTGTGCTTACCAAAGAAGTACTCAACCCAGGCTCTGTTGGCATTTCCATCATCATAGTCCCCAAAGAGACCAAGGTACATAGCCGTTTGCCCCAAAGAGTTGGTGTATCCGTCAAGTGGCAGCTTGTACTCTGGGTTGATCTTCTCCGCGCTCTTCTGCCTTGCAACGAGCGCCTTGGCAGCGTCGCTGATGGAGATTGTTTCTGAAGGCCAGTATGACTTGGTCTCGTCAAATATCGTCTGGTTAAAGGACCAGTTGTCACCAAAGTAGATGTCCGCTCGACTCAACGACGCGTCGTGCTCAATAAGATTGTGCTTGTTCAAGTCGTTGAGGTGGAAGGTGTCTTTGTTTCCGGTTGATGATGCCTCGAGAGCTTTGTTCCCTTGTAGGCGGAAGAAGAGCTTGGCGTCTTCGCGGAGGTTGAGTCCGGCGTGCATGCCTTCGATGAGTGCGTCGACGGAGATGTTTTGGCCGTTTCGGGGGAGGTAGCCGTGGTTTGCGAGACTGTTCAGGAGTGGACATGGGGCGCGGCCTAGGGAGATCGAGGTTAGTCGTGATGCCATCTAAGGGCGTCCTCTGCTCACGATCATTAGATCCTGGTGTCTGCCACGCATGTTCAGCATCTTGACACAGAACCGAGGTTGTGAAAAGGGCGAAAGATAAAAGAGTGACGCGCATCTTGGCTAGGCAAAATCAACAACACGAACAAACGAACGACTGGTAGTTGGATGCGAAAGGACCGACTAGACAAAGTGATCTGCAGGATTTAGCAACAGATGGGCATCCAGATTCTAGATATGCTTCCGCCTTGATCGGCGGAAAGACCGATTTTGACCGGGGGACACCTCCAAATCAGGAAAGAGACACGGGCCACCCCGGGCTGCCCGATGGCCGGCTCCACGGCCGAGGACCGAATTGCGATGCGGGTGGATCGGGACCCCGTATTCTGGAAATTACTTCAACTTAAATTTAGTGCAACATCAGGCAAGCAGCCACACACGGAGTCCGAATTACTCATCTTTTTGACTCGTGGTGATCCACCACCTTCTACTTTCAGTATATATATGCACCTTTATATATGCGGTTGTGAACGAATTCGGACTCTTGAGATTGCCGCTCTGCCCTTGGGGGCTGTTTAAGCTATTCTTGATGCCGTCTATCTACCGAAAGTCCGTCCAGCGCCGTTTACGGCAGCCCATTTTAGCTACATCAACACAAATCGTCGCATTTCATAGGCGTGGAAAGCATCAACACTGGTCGCATAGTTGTTCTCGTGATGAATCAAACCTGTACCTCGAAGCCATGCCCGCAAAGCTTTACTGCTTGATAGTCTGAGGGCATGAACCTTGCACATGGCCAAGTATGCGATATAGCCTACTTTCTTCACAATGTTACACTGATCTTGCACTACTGTGTACATCTGCGCTTCTGCGCCTTGAAGGGGCAAAAGACCAGAGATCCACAAAATTGCATATCGAATAATCACGCTATTGGAACGTCAACTCATCGCTGTTAAGCAGCACTATGCGAACATAATCGAATCAAAATGATGAGTGAGTGGAGGGGTGATATGCAGGCAGACCGAGTGGGATTATCTGCAACGTGATCTGCCTATCAATGTGCCCAGCTGCGCCCCAGAGCCTTACTGCTACCAACAGGCCATCTTCATGGCCAACCACGCCATGCCCCCGCCTTTGAGGGGTCAATCCTCAATCTCTACAACTTCATGCCCATTTCGTGCCCGCGAAGCCATATTGAGAACTCGGCATCGCAATGTCAGATCCTCTCTCCATCGCAGGTAGCATTGCCGGTATAGTCCAACTATCCGCATCCGTATTCCAGCAAGTCTCTAAGTTCGTCAAGGACGCCAAGGGCGCCGAGAAAGCTGTGAAAGACTTGGCAGACCAGACACGAAACTTGTCCGGCGTGTTGCAAAATCTTGCGCTTCTCGCCTCGTCACTCGAACAAGAGAGCTCGACTTCAGCATTCAAAGCACAACATCTCCACGCTTGTCGCGAGACTCTTCTTGCCGTCGAAAAACGACTAGAAAAGCCATTGTTGGGATTCGATGAAGGAAGTCGACGTCAAGCAATGTATCGCAGCCTGAAATGGCCTCTCTCCTCAAACGACACCAATGGGCTGCTTGCGCAAATTGAAGGCCACAGAAACACTATTTCTTTAGCACTGTCCACAGACACTCTGGAGGGTATGTTGAGGTGTTTGGAAAAGCAAGACGGCATAATCGGAAGCCTGGGTTCCTTGAGCAAGAAGATGGAACGCTTGACTGCCATCCAGACGAGAATTCAATGTGACGATAAGCGGCGTGAAATCATCGATTACTTTTTCAAGGTGAATCCCCAGGTAGACTTGCAAACTTCAAGTCGACTGCGACAACCATTAACTGGATTATGGCTCACGGAAAGCAACTCTACATTTCTAAAGTGGATGGGCCTCCCTCATTCCGGCCTCTGGTTAAGCGGTATCCCGGGAGCTGGAAAGACTATTCTTTCTGGTGTGGTCATCGAGGAAGTCCTGCAAAAGAGCAACCAGTCAGTCGCAGTTGCGTTCTTCTATTGCGATTACAAGAACAGTGAAAGCCAGAAGCTTCTCAATATCTTGTGCACGATAGCTGCCCAGTTGGGTCAACAGAATGATGAGGCGTTCAGTATCCTTGAGGAGTACTACGAGGGACTTAAACCGGAGAGCGGCCTTCATGCAGAGCCTGAGCCAAAAGAACTTATTGACTTGATCTCTACCATCATTTCAGCTTTCGACAAGGTTTTTATTGTCATCGACGGTGTCGACGAATGCGGGGATAATATGACAGAGGTATCTGAGGCTATCGGGCTTCTTTTTGAGGTCTCTTCGGCCGCCAGTATCGCGGTTTTCAGTCGAGACGAACAAGATATTCGAGAAGCGATCGCTGATGACTTCGCCCATATCGAAATCTCAGCTCATACGGAAGACCTTGAACTCTATATCCGTGCTGAAATGGCCAACAGAAGGCAACTGCGTAATCTCAGCATTCAGAATCCTCTGTTCGCCGAAGAGATCCGACGTGGGCTCGTCAACGGAGCTCAAGGAATGTAAGCAAAAGAAACGCCTCTTGCATTCTTTTATCGGTCATTAATCATGCCCCACTGCGCAGGTTTCGATGGGTATCATGTCAGCTAGACTATCTATGTGATTTGAGCACGAATCGTGCCCGCCGGGAAGCTTTGGACTCCTTACCTCCGACGCTTCCAGAGACCTACCACCGGCTACTGTTGAGAGTCTGTCGCTCGAGCGTCGAAACCAAGAATCTTGTTCGAAGAGTCCTGCATTGGACAATCGCACCGAGTCAAATGACACTGGCTGAGATGCGAGAAGCGGTATCCTTCGCCTCTTCTCCTCATAGTGACTTCGGTCCTGATGATCTCATTGAAGAGGACGCTATTTTCAGGAAATGCAGTAGTCTGGTTCGGAAAGCCCGAGCAATCGACCGCTATCATTCCGTACCCGTGATAGAGCTAGCTCACTTCACCGTAAAGGAATATCTCATGAGCATTGACGATGAGTCTGATGTCAGCTTCTTCAAGTTTAATCGACAGAAGGCCGACGAAGAGCTTTCAACCTTTTCTCTCAAGATGTTCGTTCTTAAAGCAACAAAGGCCAAAATAGATCCACTCCTAGATCTCAAGTTGAATATGAACCGCATAATTGACCAGTTCATCGGAGACCATTTCTACTTGTATTCGACGGCTCGGTTATGCGGACTCTTTGGTACTCGCATTAACCCCGATAGCCACGGCAAACTTTGGTCACAACCGCAAAACAACACAGAGTCGGAAATGTTCCAGTCTTTATTCCATTCTTCAGGTTCTATGTCGCTCATAGAATTGGCGATTGGGTCAACTTTGAGACACAAAAGCGCCGACAGCAGTGTCTTGCGTAATCCTTGGCTTGAGGATAGCAAAGAACGCGACAGAGCGGCCCAAGCCAAATCCACAGCTGAGGGCGTGCTAGCAGCTCTTCTTTCGCAAGACTTCACACCATTGCAGCTTGCAGCCGCAATTGGTCACCCTGAATTGTGCATTTCTCTCATCGAAAGGACGACGGATTCAGGGACCCGGGATTTCGAAGAGTGCTTGTACTACGCCTTTGGAACTATTCGCACCTTCATGTTCAGCAAATCAGGGGCTTATGTGAAAAGTAAATATCGTCTCCCATTTCCAGACTTGACTAAACCTCTCAGTGGTTTTAAACAGCCAAGAAGAACCAAAGCTGTCGAGGCTTTACTCCACGCTTTTCTCAAGGACAAAGCGCCCTGCTCCCCTAAAAGCGATAAATTACTCACGAAAGGCTTTGGCGGCAACACACTTCTTCATATTGCTGCTTCTTATGGAGCATCGGGTCCAATCAAGAGTCTTCTCGCAGCCGGATTTGACACGTCCATTAGGAACAAAAGGTCACAAACACCATTAGACTGCGCAATTGCAAACCGATCCTGGGACATCGCAACTCTTCTCTCTCCGTTGAGCCCGGTACACACCCTGGCCAAGACATCAGTGAAAGACCTCGGTTGGGAGAGAGCTATGGTTCCCACCCTCACCTTTGGTGACCGGGTTTCAATGCTACCGCCATCTGCAGCCATAATTAGTTTCGCCATCCAGCATGACGACTTCGAGCTTCTAAAGGCCATCACTAGCCAGAGGCTGTCTGTGGATGTGGAACTTCCTGATTGCACGAGATGCCCTCGGAGTCCACTAGTCACGTCAATTCTTCTTGGCAGGAAGCAGATGACAAAGTGGCTGCTATCCCGGGGTGCAGACGTAGAGTTATCCGGTTGCAATTACCTTCCTTCTGGACTGCGTGGCGTGGTCTCATTGATCATCCATAAAAATATGGGAGTAGACATCATTAAGTTGGCACTGGAAGAATCTCTTCGTCAAGGAGTTGAGTGGGTAGACGAAAATCTCAATCCACTTCACGTCGCGGCTCTCGCATTAAACTCAGAGGCGATGAAGTTCTTGCTTGCCAATCTCAAAGACCACAACCAACAGTTCAGGTTCGCTGCCAGTCGTTTGCTTAATTCTCTAGTTTCCGTTTCTTTTCGTGATTAAAACTACAAGTAAGACAATACTGATCATCTAAATTCGTAGCTCAATGATGCGCTCTTGGTCCTTGCGTAGGACATCTACAGCACTCATGCTTGAGAGTCCATCTGACATCATCAATGCTGTCAGTTCAATCTCTCAGAAAGAAATTTATTGGGCCAGGGGGCGTCGGGGGAAAGCCTTCCAGGGCTCTCCGCTTCATTATGCCGTCTTATCGTCTTGTCAGGCATCCTTAAACCTACTTCTCTCATATGGAGCTGATGTAGATGTTCTGGATGAACACCAAAGATCTCCATTGATGCTAGCAGCTGAGCTCAACTCGACGAAAGCAGTTCGGTCTTTGGTGAAGGCAGGTGCGAGTTTGGGATTTTACGATGACGAAACCAAAACAGCTCTCATGCGTGCAGCATCGGCAGGCAACATGGAAATGATCAAAGTCTTGGATCAAAGCAAAGAAGTGGCATTGATGACTGATCATGCCGGGAAAACGGCCTTACAATACGCTTTAAGTGACAAAGACACGGCGGTCGAAATTTGCAACTATTTCGTGAAAAGGGGGCTCGAACCAGCCTTACACGACTTCGAATTGTTAAGCCCTGACAAGTTCGAGGCCGAAGAGGGGCCCATGAAAACAAGCCTACTTGCTTACGTTCTCAACACCGGCTGCTTACAGTTCGCGGAAGGTTCTAGTACTAGCAATCCTCTGTCTGTTGCTGTTATGGGCAATACCCCTGGTCTTCTGCATAGACTCTGGCGACTTCTTCAAAGATATCCGAGAACTCGGAAATATCTCAACGAAAAGACCAAAGACAGCTATAGTCCTTTGTGTGTCGCAGCTTTGTATGGAAAAGACATTGGTCTCCAACAACTGCTACGCTATAAAGCTGATCCGAACATGGAAGGGTGTTCACAAGGTAGCAGTCTCATGGCAGCTTGTACATTTGGCAGGCTTCAAGCTGTCAAGAGACTAGTACGCAGCGGAGCTGTGCTGTCTTACACCAATGAGAAAGGGGTCTACAGGAATGCCTTCGTCGCTGCGCTGCCTCACCCGTAAATTCGACTATGGTTTCTTGTTGGTAGATTTCAGGACCAACCTAAACTCTCTTCTGAAAGCTTTTGGGAGGACCGTGACGAGAGAGTCAAGAAATGGAGTGGAATTTCAAAGTCTGGGTGGAAGCTCATAGGAAAGAACAAAAGGCTCAAGAACGAGTCCATGATTGACTATCTCAAGAAATGCCATCACCTCAAGAGGTGGGCCGAGGGACCGGTATTGGTCCCATAAGCACCACCGAGCACCTGTTGGGTAGGTTTTTTGAGTAATCTTCGTGGGTGGTTATTTATTTTAGCTTTACAATCTACATCCTTGTGCTACCTTGGCTCATGAATACTAGTAGCAACTTTCTTCGGACACGGGAATCAAACTACCATATGCAATGAAGCCATGTTTGATATTAACATCAATGGTCTGTCGTCATCGCAACACTCGCCACTGATCGGAACAACTAGTACCGACGTCATCGCTTGCAGTCGATAAATCCAGTCTTATGAGGCCTCGTATCTAATGCTACGAGGTGATCGGAAGAGCTCTTGGCACAGAAAGCCATCTCTGTACGGTCACGGACGATTACTGAACAAACCGAAAGTCCGTCGCAAGGGTATCCTTTCATCGATGTCAATGAAGAGAACTTTTTGTAAAGTACTAGCCCTCATGTCCTGATGCCCAAGCATTCAAGGCCTGAACTATCTCATCAAGCCCGCGCCTTTAACTGCTTGTAGCAGAGTCGACCATCTGATGTTTCGATCTCCATTCCCCATTCAGCCGGGCTGCGTTGTGGTGGTGAGGTTACGAGGGAAGTCTATGTAGTAGCCGTGATCTGTGAAATATTAGCACCCTCCCACCGGTCTCATAATGCGTGAGCGTCATCGCTACGTATGAAGCCTCAATCGGTGTATGTTCCCAGACCAAGGCATGAGACATCAAATTCGCCTTCTTGGCCGAAGGTACTTATCGAGTCTCCAGATCCATCGATAAGGATGGCCTAACTACTGATTTCAGATATAAAACAGGTCTGCAAGGCCAACTAACATCGATATGTAAGCCAACTTGGCACCGCAAACCTACCTCAAACGACAGCATACTCCAGCCATTTTTCCTTTATACCTATATATTATACACCAAACTTTACAACCGCTATCATTGCGATATCACAAGATGAAGCCTCAGATTACCATATTCACTTTGACTGCCACCGCACTCTGTAGTCCAATTTTCCTAATCCACCGCGCCCAGGTCGATACCACAGCTCAACTCCAGAGCCGCCAGACCGGAACAATCGCAAAGGAATACACGCAAGGAGGCTGCCGTGATGTCATATTCATCTTCGCCCGGGGTTCTACGGAAGTCGGAAACATGGTAAGTCCCCGCCGCGCTTCGGAGTCCCGTGTCCGGATCAGTCTAGGCCGTATTCGCGATGTGCATGAGGGGGAAACGCACATACACATCAGATGACTGACGTCAAATCTTCCAGGGGTCGACCGTTGGACCTCCAACTTCAGACGGCCTGAAGAAAAAGTACGGCGAAAACAAAGTGGCGACAGAAGAAGTTGATTACGCCGCTGGTCTCACCACCAACTTCCTCCCCGGAGGAGCTGATCCCGTCGGTGTTGATGAGATGAAGCGGCTTTTGACCGATGCTACCAATAAGTGCGACAAGTCAAAGATCGTGGCTGGAGGTTATAGGTATGCAGTGTGCTGCGGGTTAGTGCAAGATCAACGACTTGGGACTGACAATGGAGTCTTCTATAGTCAAGGAGCTGCCACCGCACATCGCGCAATTGAGAACCTCCCTGATTCAGTTAAGAGCAAGATTCTGGGAGTCGTCACCTATGGCGATACCCAAAATCAGCAGGACAAGGGCCAGATCCCCAACTTCCCCAAAGACAAACTCAAACTCATTTGTAATGAAGGCGATAAGGTGTGCACTGGCACCCTCGAGATCACGCCTGCTCACCTTGACTATGAACGCCATGTTCCCGAGGCAGTTGACTTTTTGACCGGAAAGATCGGCAATCTTTGATATTTACCACAACTTGCACACTAATTCTCCGTGGTCTAGTACCATTTGTTACAAGTTTTGATTTAGAGAACAACACGGAGGAGCACACAGCAAGCGAGGATGGCGCTGGGATAGCTGGGATAGCTGGAACTACTGGATCATGTTTTGATATTGTAGATGGTGTTGACCACAATTAAAGCATCTTGCCACACTTGATCACTTCTCCCGATCCTGATCCTACTACACTACGGCTGAGGCCATCCAAGATTCAAACTCACTGTCAGTATGTCTGATGCTCAAGAGTGAGGACAGCGATATCTGAGACACTCGTCCAGTCTCTCACACGACTGCTTAGTGTCACTTCATGTATCCGATCTAACAGTACATGCATTACGTACCGAATCTTGAGCAAGGTACGTACTACATTATTGAAATTGTCTGAGTACCTTTGCGATGATTTGTGACAGCAGCTCATCCCCAATTCTTCAACCCCTCCCTTACCCCTGGGCTCTAGCAGTCATCATATCTTCTTTTATGATATCAGCTGCCCTTTCGGCAACTGCATAAACAGTGCTCTGGATGTTGCCCAAAGGCTCAATCGGGAAGACACTGGCATCGACAATGCGAAGATTCTTCGCCCCATAGAGCCTCAGTCGCGCGTCAACAACGCCACCATCCTCCCGTGGCATCATGGCACAACTGCCCGAGACATGGAACACCGAAATCTGTCTTTGACGCACAATCTCCTTAGCAGTCTCTAAGTTGTCACCCATCAACTCGGGCAAACGTTTCCCTCCAGGCTTGAGTAGCGAGCTGAAAGGTTCAGTGCCCACGATTCGCTCGACAAACTGAACGTTGCGGGCCAGAAGCTCCAGGTCGAGTGGGTTCGAGTTGTACTTCGGATCCCACGTCGGCAACACTTTGAAATCAGGGCTAGTAATGTGGACCGTTCCCCGAGAAAATGGATGATTCAACACCGTCATGACAGTGATGTAGTTCTCCGGCCTGGAAGGCAAAATGTACTCGGCCATGCTGGCCGGATGATCATTAATCGTGATTTGAGATGGGAAAAGCAGGTATTCGCTGCTTGGCTCGTCCGATGTCTCGATAAGAGAGCGCACAAGCTTCCCAGTCGGCGAGCTCGCATGCTTTACGTGTGCAGCCAGAAAAGATTTCTTTGCCTCTTCTGACATCAGCCCGTTGTTGTCGGCGAGAGGCGTGTAAGCAGCGCTAATTGTGCTCTGGCCCAGTGGGCCCTCACGCGTGGCCATGTACTGGCCGACAACGGCGTTGAGAATGTTTCCGTCTCGGAGAACATCCGCTGACGGCACTCCTTCATTGACCTCAAAGCTTTGGCAGACAATTGGGTGATCCTGCAAGTTCTCTCCAACATTGGAATTGTCAATCACCACAGGAATGCCGTGGCTATCGAGCAAGTCTCTCCCACCAACGCCGGACAGCTCCAATAGCTGAGGTGTTTGGAGAGTTCCTGCAGCAAGGATCACTTCCCCTTTCGCCTCGATTATCTTCTCCTCGCCGGTCTTGCTGACAATGAGAACGCCAGTCGCAGATACACCGTCTCCGGCAGTATCAAAGATGACTTTCTTGACCTGTGTCTCGGTCAAGACTACCAGGTTCGGTCGTGCAGCCACTTCCGGTGTGTAGTAAGCGCTCGCCGCGAAGCTTCTTGTCTTGGTCTCCGGATCAATGCTGCACGGGTTCTGAAAAGCACCATAGGTCTTCCCACTCCGAGGATCACCAGTCACGCCAAGGCCAAGCTTATCGAATGTGCTCATCCACGCAGCGTTCATAGAGCTGTAGCCTTCGCCAAAGGAGACCTGAATTGGGCCTTTTCCACTCAAAGTTTGATCGTGGTAGTCCAGCCCAACTATGTCCTTTGCGGACTGGGGAGGAGGATGATCAGTGCCAAACTTGCGGAAATAAGGCGTGAGCTCGTCGAAACTCCAGCCGGCGTTGCCCAGCGCACCCCAGGCATCTAGAACTCCCCTTGATGGATACAGCATCAACATGAAGTTTAAGGCAGAGCTGCCTCCAAGCATTTTGCCTCGTGCTTGGTTAATTCTTCGGTTGTTCAAACCAGGCTAGCAAAGGTCAGATGATTGCAGGCGGCCGATAAAGGGGTTGGCTCACCTGAGGCACTGAGGTGAAATTCCAGTCATATTCATCCTTTCCATAGACGCCTGCCACTAAGCCAGGCGTCAGGACCAAAGGGTCTGCGCTCTTGTCGGCACCAGCTTCAACAACTAGGACACGAGTGCTGTTATCTTCGCTAAGGCGAGAAGCCACAACTAGACCTGCTGTTCCACCACCTACAACAATGTAGTCGAAAGAGGAATCGAGATCTTGGAAAGAAGACATGGTGTTTTTTTCCGAGTTTTTGACGACCTTAGTTAAGATTACAAAGAGAAGAAAGACTTGAACTTCAGCTTGCACAAGGGGGTTTTCTTGTCTCAACTGACGTGACTTCGCCTGGTGTCCGATACTAGGGTGGATGGCCATCAGCATTCCACAGTAAGCAAGTAGGCACACATTCAGCCAACTGCATGGATCTAGCCTCTGCTGGGAGAGTTATCCGCAATATCCTGGTCAGAATCCACTATCGCAGTCTTTGGTTGCATTCGTTGGTTGTCTTTCGGAGAGAATACCAATACGACCGTGCCAGAGTTCATCACGCTTTCATTATTTCCGGGCGAACAGCTTATGAGCTATGAGCGATCTTATTCGAAGAAGGCACAGCACATCGGTGTCAATTTTACTCGCAGACCGAAAGCGAGGTTCACTTTGCGAACCATTTACAACTGGAAGTCGTGTCTATCCACTAACACGGGCTTGAACAAGTGGATATGGGGATGCATGTACCTAGCCTGCTCCCCAGGTCTGTAGCCTTCCGCAAGTCCACATTTGTATCCTCAATTTGACAAGGTCGAAGTAGAAGTTCTGTTACGTGTTCGGTTCCGAGGATTCAGGCACCTTTCAGTTTGATTCATAGAGGCATCCAAGACGCGTCGTTATCCCCAGTGCGCATTGTCTAACAGATTTCACCTTGCTGACCATGAGCTTGTCAGTGAACCCAGAAATGGATGATGTCCCGCAACCCCAGCAAAGTCCATCTAACGGTTGGAGCTAGGGACGGCACCACGGATCTTGTCCCGCGGCGAAACTCCCCGCGCCGCAAATTCATTTGAAAGACACGGATCGGCGCAGAACTTTTGTGTGGATGGCGTAAGTCAGTGGATCACTGCAGGGGATTTGCTGCAGGTATTCCGAAAGCTACAGCGCTAGCAACACCTATCGTACCATGCGTGTTGTGCCAACAGTCCCAACCAACGGTGCAGAGGGCGACTCTTGAAGAATGCATACATTGGTCTTGGTCCGCAGTGAAGCGGTTATGAAGAATCAAGTAGTTGTCGCTGGCTTGGTTGGCTTATTCCTATCCTCTTGCTGGCAAGCGCCGGGAGCTTGAACATTGTGCGTAAGCGGCTGGACCATTTTTCTGTGGCCGATATTAATGAAGTGTCAAGTCACGCTAGCTGCAGTAGCCGGCCTCGTTAAACTTCGAATAGTCGCAAGGAGACGCCAAATTTGTGGCATCACCTCTCACTGTCAAGGCCTAGACTCTTTCGGCGGCAGTAACAAAGTTCAACCCGTTCCGTCTTGCGGTCTCCAGCGGCTGCATTATTTCGGTCAGCTTGGCATAGTCGCTGAAGACTCTGGCTAACCTGAGCCTAGCGTGAACGTAAGATCAGCGGATGTTGGGCAGCTGTGCCGCATACGAGCATGGCAATTTCCGCTTGCTGTGATGCGGAGGTACTCGTTCCCGTATTAGGTCGCCTCACAGTGACAGGACCAACACCAGTGATCGGTCGGCACCAGTAAAACGTGCAGGGGCTCTAGCGAGCTTCAAGACTCCGTGTCTAGCATGTTTAACAGCAGAATATCTTCAGAGTGCAAAATAAGATGATGGGTTGGTTTCTTGGCTTTGTTTTGGGTTCTGTCCAAATCCGAATGATCGCGCTCGACGATATTTCCTCCAGTCTCTTTGAGGCGAGATGTAGACAACACCTTCTGGGTAGTTCTTGCTCCTGCCCGCTACCATGACGCTCCATGCTGTCAGCTTTTCAACCTTGCCGATAGTCAAGGCTCATCTTCTCGTGAACTGCGTCTTGGTTCTCTTCGCAGTCCTCATAGTCACACTCCGTTTCTTCGCACGCTTCTCCTCGGGAGCTAAGTTGTGGTGGGATGATCTCCTCATTCTCCTTGCGGTGCCTCAGGGCATCGGGATGTTGGTAATCCAAGGCTTATGTGAGTACTCGGCCCCAGAGCGGAGAACGTCGTTCTGAATGAAACTGACGAACCTGTAATCAGGGTCGCCCATGGGTATCGGTTACCCGATCACAGACACCCTTCCAAATATCGTCATTATCCTTAAGCTTCTAGTTGCCTACGAGTTCATATTCGCGACATGTATCAGCACCATCAAACTCAGCGTCATGTTCTTCTACCTTCGAGTCTTTGTCAACCCAGGACTCCGAACCGCGACAAAATTCGCAATGGGCTTTGTTATGGTCTGGACAACGGCCAACATCCTGCAAGTCTTCTTGATATGCCATCCATTCGAGGCAACATATAATCCAGCCGTCACGGGCAAGTGTGGGAATCAGATAGCATCGTTCATCGCCATCGGTGCCTTCAATGTCATTACAGACATCATGATTTTGACATTGCCGATATCGACTGTCTGGGCACTCAAGATGAGTACGCCGGCCAAACTTGGTATCATTGCCGTCTTCTCAACAGGCCTGATGTATGGCTACCCTTGTGTCCCTCCCTTTTGGCTGTAAACTAACAAGAAAACGAAACAGAGTCAGCGTAGTTGCCATCATCCGCATTGTCAGTCTCACCAACCTCGATCTCCAGAATTTGACTGAAACAATGATATGGGCCGACTTTTGGTCGACCTTGGAGCCAAATTTGGGTATCATATGCGTTAGCATGCCGATGCTGGGATCACTGTACTCGCGGTGCACAGCTAGGCGGGGTGCTTCAAAGCTCGACGGGCCTTCGGACGCCAGCGGCTACAACAATTCGAATAAGTTCAGACGATCGCATCCAAGCGCATCTGATACTGTCGTTTTGTCTACCATATACTCTCCGGAAAACGATGTACACTATAGGTCAGAGGTTGCTTCGTTCGGACGTAACGGAAAGAACGATGATAGTGGGGATGACTTCGAGTCACGCTTGACCCCTGAACAAGAGCTTTTGGGCAGAGATAAAGTTATACAGGTAGAAACGCAGTGGACCGTGTCTCACCAAGAGGCTTGATTCGTTCATTTACCAAGAGATCCGAAATTTTCATTCGTACTAAAATTGATCATTTGATCCGACCGCTGTGGGCTTAGTTGTGGTTGAGTAAGGCAATGAAGGTGGCCAAGTGCGAGACTATCAATCAATGCCCAAGCGCGCATATTATACTTGGACAATTGACGAAGGTTGTCAGATCTTTTGGACTGAACACATGGCATTATATTAAATGCTCCTCTTTAAGCTTCTTTGAGAAACCTTCATACGGTAGACAGCAATAAACTACAATTAAGTGGCATGGCGTCACTCGGCGCCGCCTCTTATAAAATCCCGAGGCCTCGGTAACGGTTACCCAATTAGGAAAACCGGACCCGACGCCGACTAGCACGGGCCGTGTCTGCGTGGCCGTTCGACTCGTCTTTGCCATGACGTCTCGCGACGGCCCCGAGATTTTACAAATTTTCGGCTTCCTTCTTTCTACTTTCGTCTTCTTTCGGAAATCCAGCCCGTATTGGACGACGATTTTACCGAATATGCCCAGTAACGCCTCAAGTTCTAGAACCCACAAGTCGTGCGATGCATGCACGTCGCGCAAAGTTCGATGTCCAGGTAGGTGTGCTCGATGTTGCGTCGACATGTGCAGATATCTGAAAGGAATGGTAGCTAATTACCAAATCAGGCCCAGGGTCATCTGGAACTTGTACCAATTGCACAGTAAGATTTAGAAACTATCGGCATAACTCTCGCAGTCTCTTTCGATGCCTGTACTGACACAATTTTCGCAGAGAAGGAAGAGTGAGTGCGTTTTCGGCGTAAGAAAACTGGCCCGCAGACCAAACAGTACGTACTCCTTGGTTGCCATGTAGGCAATTCTTCTCAACGTCTTCGGGGCTCTTGAGGACTCATTAACAATCTTACGGACGATTAGTTCAAAGACAATTTTTTCCTACCAGCCGATCTTCCGGCACGCCTGATGAGATACAACAAGGGTGCACCGTATCGGTTTTAGACTTCGCAACACTGCCAACACCGGCATCCAAGTCACCGGATCCGACAATCTCGGAGAAATCATCCACTCCCGATCCAAATGCCCGACGGCCCGCTCCGCACCGAATTCCGGAACTCTACGTGGATCGAGTACTTGATAGAGCCCGTAAAGCTCCGAGATCAACTAGGCCTGCCGAAGCCTCCAACTATGTCAAAGTAAGCCCATGTTGAATGCCCCCACTTTAGGTCCTGAACGTCTGCTCACTGCCAAAAGGGCTATGGTATTTTTGGTAAGTGTGATGTCCTCTGAGGGAAATCCCATGTCCCTCCCTACCAACTCACATACCTTATTCAATGACGCCCTGACCAATAAGTCATAGGTGGCACAAAGAATTTGACCTTCTTTTCTGAAGGGAGATTGAAATCCCTCGCACAATGCCTCGGTCATGAGAAAGTTCATGAACTCGTCGGGCGAATTGCAAGCGCTGTTGAGGAACGCGGAAGGTTCGTCAAACTTCGTGCTTGTAGTTTGAATCGTCAACCTGAGCGCCCGGCTTGCCTTGACGACAAAGCTCTTCTCGCAAAGTATGTCAAATGTGAGTAGCACTCTTTTCCCACCCTTATCACTGTTACCTTGCAATGAGCTTACCATAAGCAGTATATTTTGAGCAAGTACACCCTCGGTTCCCGTTCCTTGACCGCGACGCATTCGAAAGGACTGCTTTTAGTCAAGATCAGCCTCACTCTGCACCCAAAAGCAAGTCATGGATATGCCTCTATCATTCCGTTCTGGCTCTTGGTTGTCAATACGACGGTGGTGGGTCTTTCGAGCCTGGGGAAGGTGATGCATGGAAGTTCTTCTCCATCGCTCTAGCCAACTTTGCCGATTTGATCATGCTACCAGACACTCTTACAACTTTCCAAGCTGTGGTAGCAATGATGATATACTCGCTTGGTATTGCTGGGATCGTGCTGGAGCACGTCCTCATGTCAGAAGCTGCTCGGCGAGCACAGAACCTCGCCGACGCGAAGTTTGTTGGAGCCGCAGCAGACGCATTCCGGCGGACCTTTTGGGTCTTCTACTCTTTGGAAAAGATCAACAGCTTCCATCATGGTAGATCATCTGTGAGCTCAGTCCCTTGACTGACTGGTTTTTCTTTCTCACGACTGACATCCCGGGAAAGGCAATCATGGACTGCGATATATCCTGTTCCGTTCCATCCACACCCGAATCCTTCTTCTCTGGCGGCTTCGATTGGTTTCTGTGTTTCGTCAGCCACGCGCGTCTGCTATCCCGGGCAAACACGTCACTCTTCTCTGTTGGCGTATCCGACAATCCCGGGGAGTACCACCTGGACATCATCGATCAGCTTCTAGACGAGCTCGAAGATTGGAGGAACTCACTGCCGGACAACGGCTTCAGGCCAGGTGGCTGGGTCAAACCTCACTCAATCGTTGAAGACCAAGAGCGTACAGTTGCTCTAGTCACTCATTTTCTCTACTACAGTTTCCTCCTCACGATCTCTCGAATGGCTTTGAGGTACTTGCCAGTGTCAGAGAACTCTACAGACTGTTCTCGTCGAGATGACACTCTGAACACCGTAGAGCACAGCGCTCGTTCCTTGCTAGAATTGATCTCGATAATAGACATGTCACCTTACACCCCCATGTGGTAAGTCGCACTTCCGATCCCAGTGTGCCTTGACTAACATAGGTCGTTACAGGATGATGGCAACAATTCCCATCATGGCTTTTTTTGTCTTATTCGATCTCGTCATTCATAATCCTCGGCAAATTCATACAGCAACCAACTTGGCGTTGCTTGACGTGGTAAAGGGCCACTGCAGCCGTATGGAAATGATCTCGAATGGTGCGATACCAGGATCCATGGTTGGCGAGTTTGCACAGATCGCTCGAAGTTATGTAAACGAGGTCAACGGACGGAGTCCAACCGGCCTTACACCACATGCGCCATCTGAAGCATTCCAGGCACTCTCTACGCAGCCTCAATGGTCACTACCCCAGCAACCCGATTATGACGTCGCTTCAACGGACATTCACACGGACTTCTCGACGGTAAGTAAACCTATCACTGGACACCGTCAGCGAGCAGTACTTCGCAGGGGCAATATATCATTAACGGAAATATTACAGATGAACTTGGCCTCTAATTCGACTATGACGGGATGTATGGATATTGAAGCACCCGCCGTTGTCCCCAGTCCGCTCATCGGAACTGACGTAATGAATCTCTTCGAAGGCTGGGTCCCCGACCTGGATCCCATGTTCTTCCACACTATGAGCGCTCAGAACAACATGGACCAATCGACATCTCAGCATGAATTCCCGATTTCCTCGGATCCATTATATGGACATCCCTCTTGACGTATGATGATATTGTACCCAATAAACTCGCGTTACGTGGTACATCCCGCAAGATATCAAAATTCAATTACCATGTCCAGTCAGGCAGCCTAAGTCGACGTGCATAACATTGTGAAATCAGTCGGTTCCTGGATTTCCTCCCTCCAGGAACTTAAAGAATGTCAGACGATTGCCATCGTTATCCTTGATAGTGAATTGACGGTAACCCCAAGGCGTATCTCGGATAGCTTCGACAACTTCGACTTTCCCCTTGGACACCAAAAGGTCGTGGAACTGGTCCAGACCTGCCGTGCCCAAAGCGATCATTACTCCTCCAGGATGGAACTCGTTTGGTTCGCACAGGAAGAAGTAGATGTTGGCAGCAGCCTTGTTTCCTGTATAGACGGAGCAAAAGTAGAGCGAAGAGTCATCATCGTTCTCGGGTTTGGTTCCGCCCAGGGTGAACCCCAGCTCGCTCGTATAAAAGTCGACTGTGGCAGCGATATCCCGCGAGCTAAGCGACGGGATTATCTTCCAAGCCGACCCGATACCCTCGCCTTCGGCCATTTACGTGAATTCGGTGTTTGGTGCGTAACCTTTTGCCCAGTCCCCGATGGGATAATTACATGCGTTAATGTTGTCACTGCGTGGTATTCGAGACTAGGGTCTGCCTGATCGCACGGATCAACGCGGCTTCTCCCTCCTTCTTTATGCACTCCGCGTTAGGGCAGTTGGGGCAGCACAAGTATATCAGATGGGTTGGGTGAGCGGACACCGAAGGCCGATCGATGACTGATGTCAACATATGTGCCGCGTGAAGAATTTGTTGTGTTAAGAGAGCGGTGAAGAAAATTCTAAACCGGACCACCGGCACTACATGGAGGAAGTTTCAGACGAATAGGTTGTGGTGGGTGGGATGGAGAACGTCATGGTCACATTCGAGTCCAAGCCCATCCGCGTGAGGGAGATACTTCTTTTCTTTTCTTCTTCTTGGCCTGTCTCTTTCAGCCTCCTCCTTTGGCATTTCCCCTCTTTTTCATCCGAGACTTTTCTCCATCGGCATCATCAGCAAGCCAAGATAGTAACTCTAATTCATTGGCCAAACGTGGCCTAGCTCGGGATGCTTCCGCGTTTTCGTAGACTAGATGTAGTTGAGGAAGGGTCAGGTGGACCGAACTCAAAATGCAAGAGTCACCCGGCACTGCTGACTGGCCCGTCATCGGAAGTGCCCCGCGTGAGGAGCAGCTCAAACTAACTTCGTTTGTTCCTGGATTAGCAAACTCTTATGCCGTCCGAGTCAATAACGTCGGTGATAATAGGCTCGGCGCCGGCGCGCGCGGGGTTTCCAAGAGTTCGAAAATAGGGATCCCCGCCAAGAGTCGCGGGCCAAGAATATTCAGAGCATCGCATTAGCGATAGGGCATTGATCTCCTTCAAGCCTTCGTCGCCTTTAATTAGACAGTTGATGGGAGCCCCATTTCTGATGAACAGGAGCTGTAAAATTATGTTTGCGAAGGATAATAGCACGACTTCTGGAGTGTTTCAAAAGATCATATTTCAGAAATAACCCGTGTGTTCATCATAGGGTATTAACTAATAACTAAAAGGCTCGTAGATTCATCACTGCGTTCATCATCGCGCACTTGAGAACTGTAATCGTCGCCGCAAATTGGCAGCTGTAGCCGGCAAGAAAAACACCATCGCTTCAACACATATATGTCGCCTCCTTAAATAATTTCATATCTGCGCAGAACAGCAAGTACCAGGGGCGGAATGCCTCGGAGATCGTTCTCATCGGGGCCAAGTCTGGAAAAGTCATCGCCTCCCCTGAGGGCTTCTTGAGCAGCGATGTTTGCTTCGGGTGTATCAGCGGCACTGATATCCGCAAAGGCAGCTTCCGCGTTGGGAAAGTTGGTGATCGGAATAGCTGCAGCTTCAGCTTCGGTGACAGGACCCGCAAGAGCCTTATTTCTGCCGCCGACGCCAAGGGCTCTTGCCACTCCGGCAAGAAGATCGGTGAGCACGGGCACGGCCTTCGATGGGATCTTGATCTTTCCAGCACGACCATCATACTCGTCGATGGCGGCTGTGAAGTTGCCCTGAATCTGGTCGCTAATCTGGGTAGCGATGGGTTGAAAAGTCGGATCGAGCGCTTTGGTAAACTAGGCAAGAGTCAGACAGGCACTCCTCTGGATCACGGAAGACGATTAACTTACTGCGCCACCCAAATCTCCGGCCTTGTCCTTTTGAATAACCACAGAGTCGCGAATAAGACTCCTCACGTCCAAGATTCTGAAGCCAGCCTTGTCAAACTCTGGACGCTTACCCTGGACCTCAGTCAACAAGTTGTTGATCTCCGGCTGGAGGCTAAGGAACTGTGTGCCGATCTGAGTCCTGAAGTGACAGGGTTAGCACAGACATTCCGGTTTCCCATCGGAGAATTTTCAAGAAACGGCGACTTACGATTCGTTTGCCGGTAGGGTGTTGGTGGCCTCTGCGGACTTTGTGCTTACATCGATGGTACTTCCAAGGGTAACAATCGCCTCGTTCACTTTCAGCAGCCCCACCAAGCCTTTGAGTGTGCCTCCCTCGAAGGGAACAACTGTATCATTGGCTTCGGCAACCCGCTTTCGAAGATCTGCGATCTGGTTTTGGAGGGCAGCAGCTCCTCCTCTGACGGGCTGATTGTCACCTTTGCCTCCCTTCCCTTTGTCTTTGTCTCTGCCGCCGCGGCCTTTTGCCTCTGTTATTGGCATGGCCATCTGGGCACTGGCCACGCCAAGGCAGAGCAGGAATGATAGGAGAATGTAGAGCCTCATATTGGTAGGCGATTTAGGATAAGTCGGTAAGTGAACGAATGGGGCAAAGTTGCTGAGAAGATGATGACACAAACCCGTGATAGGTAATTGTCTGCTTTAGGATCTTTGGCTCGGACATGGCGGATGAGATCGTGGGATGAGCCATCACGTAAATACTCAGAATGGGACTTTCACGAGCCGTGACGCCGAGGCAAATTCAGCTACAGTATGAACGACTCTTGATAGACGAACAGGGCTAAGGGTAGACGAGGTAACGGCCAGCCTGACCCCAAATTGACCAAAGAGCCGAAATTCATAGAATCGGCGACTTTGTGACGGGCCATCGCGCCGGCGGGAATCCCAAATCTCTGGGCAGAAGCAAGGGTCGAGCATGATGCCACGCGGGGTTCAGTCTGTAACCACAAAGTTTCTCATCGAATCCATGCCCTTGAACCCATACAAGCATACAAGTTGGGGGCCCCGTGGGGAACTATGGGCTCCCCGCGAACTGGTGCTGAGACCTCCCTCATGAAACACGGTTGGGTGGGAGGCTCTGGACACCATCTTACATGTTTGGCCAATCAGACACTTGATGTTTCCGAGTAGACTCGCAACTTATACTTTTAAAGTCGTCACCTACAGGGGAAGACTTCGTCAACTCATCTGCTGATCCTATGGTCCATATAACATACGGATGCCTTAACAACAAGAGCCGCGAATAAATGCCTGGCACCTTCCCTCGGGATGGACGGGGGCTTTACTTCCCATGCCACCCTCCATTCTTGGAATGAAGAGGGTGGCCATTGGTGGGATGTGATGAAATAGGGATGTCGCTTTCGCTATGCAACGTTCATGAAGTCCTGGGTGCACCCACCATCTCCCCTTTCAACTCTACGTCACCATAGAGAGGGACTGCCACCAGACGATGGGTAGCTTCTGCCATGCATCGGCTGAAAGAGGGAGGATCTATTTGTCTTCCATTGTCTAGACCGCCGTCAGGGTTCCCCGCCCGTAATTTCGCGCAATGGGAGTTCATGGGCTTGATCAAATAAGGGATCAGTTGGAGAAAGCCTCCATCGTCGGGCTTTTTTGACTGCCCATCACATCCACCTCCTCGGGTTCGGTGAAGTCATTGAGCCGTCGCCTGGAGGCCGTTGGACCCTTGGCCCAAGCTGGCCATCCGATGCAATGACTGTAAGAACAGATGATGATCATGGTCTCTGTGATCACTCTCGCCTATCGCATCTCACGTTCCTTCTTCTTTTACAAAACTTTGAGACACCGCTACCGGAGTTCGTCTACTGCCCGTATGTGGTGGGTTACTAGGCCCCTCTGACGGCTCGGAATTGGAAACCACACAGATGCTATGATCTTAGTCGGAGCTCAAGATCTGAGTGATCTCATAACGGACATCCTCGACCTCGATGGGGTTACCGGCGGATACGATATCGATCCTGACAAGCAACCTCGCTTGCGTACATGCACTGCGTTGTATAATCAAAAGTGCGGTCGACAGAAACTATCATCTCTTGCATCCTCAAAGCTGACAGGTTGATCTGTAATTTTCGTGTTGTCCTAATCAGGCATCTGCGGGAGATTCCACTGACTCTCCTACCCATTTGAGTTCTGGTCTGCAAACCGAGGCGGTCCTAATCTGATCACGCGATTCGTGCCCCGCACCATGGTTTGATCGGAGGTTGGGAGACAGCGGGAGGGAATCAGGAGAGAACGAGGGGAGAAAAAGCAAGTAGCCGCTGCGAAAGTCTAGACCAGCACGGAAGCAGCTCTTTGAGGTGGAGAACTACCCGTATCAGAATTCTGGTGATCCAACACGGGAACGCAGAATTTCGGTCAAGGAAGGGGACCCCCCAGTCAAGCGATGGTAAACACCGAGACGGCGTCCGAGAAACGCGAAGGAGGCCGGGTACGGTGAGAACCTTTTAGTTAGACATACAATAAGCTTAGGTATGTGCTCAAGCTAAGCCTTACGACCAAGAGTAATCAGCGGTTACTCAACAGACTAACGTAAGGGCAAAGGGCAAAAAGAATATTCCCCGCGTTCTCGTAAACGTACAAAGCTAAAACAATTCTACCGTCGATCAATCTTACTTGAGGCTCTGCGAATGATCTGGCACAGGTCGAGAGTGCTCTGTGCTCCCACCCACACTCGCCGCTTGGACTTGGAGCACCCGGTTTCGGGCAATACTGTCCCATTGAGGTGAT